GGGCACTAATTTTGAGATGGGGTGGAGTGTACTACCTAAGCCCCTTATGCTACTCAAAGTTACTTGGTTGGGCTTGGTTTGCAGCCATGAATTGTACTTTAAGAATGGTCCTTGTTCTTTCAAGGCATTGCTCTCATTGGAAGAAAAAGGAAAAAAAAGGAGTACATGTCAGAGAAATGAGAACTGTTTTCTGTATCAACTAACAAATACTGTATCAACTAACACGTTCTGTTGAAACAAATGCTCTTACGTCCAGAAAGATCTTTTATTCCACTTTAGGAGGTAAAGCACAGCAACTGACTCATTACTCAAATTTCATTTAAACTGTTGCACAACCTCAGTTGAGAATACTTTTCAACTGAAAAAGGCCTTTTTAGCACTGTGAGAAACAAAAAAAAAAAAGTCCTCTTAAATGCAATTATGTGGATGGAATGGAAGTTTCTTCTGCTCAGCTACTGACATGCTGTCATTTTTTTTCATTCCATAACACTGAGATAATTTTGAGATTTTACGATTTGACCAGTCTTAGAATTTCTTGTAGTGATTTAAATTCTTCTATTCTATTCTTCTATATTCATCTAATTCAAAACTGGATGTGATATTTATTGCTGATTCTATTTCAACTGCAACAGTGAGACTTTCATCTTATACTACCTACAAAGAAGACACCATTGCAAAAAAGTATAGTTTTGTTAAATTTTATTTACATTCAGAAACAGAAATTTCACAGTAGTTAGAACTAGCCAGAGTGTTGTACCAGGGAGGTTTTCACCACTGTGCTCATATTTGCAAGCCAGTAAATTACTCAGACTTCCCTTAAGTTCAAGTCTATCCAATGTTGATATTTTTTTCTGTGTTTATGTTTTCATTACACTGCACACAGCTTCTTTCAGTTCTTGCTATTGTGTTTGAAGCCTCAGTTATTAAAAGAACCAGTATTTTCAATTTAAGTACCTCTCTATCTATATTAGGTATATTTATAAAAATGATGAAGTGTGTTTTGTATTAATTTATTAAATGAAATATTTTGCTCTTACATACCTATGTTCTGGGTGTTGAAAATATTCCTGTTTCATCTGCTAGGCACCATGTGTTTTTGTAAGACAGGTATGGAGAGCTCATGTATGAGTGCCATTTCTGCTGGTTCCACACCTGTCATGCAGTCAGGTTTTCTGCAGCACAATAATTTTGGAGCACCAGTTATGATTTATGCTGGGGGTTCTTTTCAGAAAAGCTCACTGGTTTAATTTTAATGGATGTCTTTAAATTCTCTTCTGGGAAAAGACTGCCTATCAGGACAGGCATGTGTGGTGGTAGCAAATCCTGGCATAGAAACAGGATCTGTGAGTGGAGGTGGGCCAATGAGTTTGTTAGAGAAACACAGCTATGGAAACAAAAATCCTGAATTAGTTTATATTGTCATCGGAGCAGGATGCACAAATAGTAACTGTATGAGGACAAAGCAATTGAGATTTAGCCAGAGGAGATATTAATAGGCTGTGGTAATCTCTAGATAATATTCCTGCTTAGTGTTTCATTATATTTGATGGGGTTTCTTAAGGCAGCACGTATCACAGCAGAGAAATCATCCTGCCAAAATTATTGTGAGAAAGACTTGCAGAATTACCTGACACCCCTGGGGATCTTGGCCAACCACTCAGTTATGTTTCTTTTCCCTTCTGATACTAAAGAAGAAGGAAGGGGAAAGAGTTTCTGAGATGAAATGGTCTGATATGCATCTGCTTTATGGTCACTGGGGTGAGTACCTTCCTAGAAGTGTGCTCTCAGTTACCCAAAGAAGCCAGCTCAGATAAATACCTACTGACAATGTTTTGTTGCAACAAAACGATACAGTGCAGGGTAAGTTTATACTTATAGCAACAACACTGCTAATTGCTATTTGCACAGTCCAAATTGATATAAATAGCTACCTTTGATCTAAATACCAGCAAAGGCATGGGCTGATAGAAAAATGCATCTCTAAAAGCCAAGGGTGATAATTAATGCCAGTTTACCTCAGTTTCAAGGTTTCACTTACAGCCTCGCCTAAAAACAAGTCTTTTCCCAATGCTTTGTTTTCCATTACAGCTCCTACATTCTCACCCTTGCTGAGGAGTTTCCTCTGTGAAGTATTTTTTTTACTTCACTGCAGCATGGCATGGCTACTGGAGACAGGACTATTGAAAAAGCAGAAAGAATTTTCTTATTACTTTCTCCTTTCTTATCATCCATACCGTGCAGGCACTTCAGAGCTTCCCAGAGCTGGGAGGGACAGAAAGTGGCTCAATGTGTGACATCTCAGTAGTGCAGGGCCACAGGATATCACAGCTGGTCAAGTGAGAAAAACCTGCTCAAATGACACCTCTGTAAAATCCCCCACGTGGGAAATGTGGTCTCGGTGTAGCCAAGGCCACAATGTTTCCTTAGAAACCCAGAGCAATCATTCAAGGAAATGTGAGCTAGTTCATGCATTGTAATTGTGTTCCACACCAAGAAGTTTCCTTTGCAGGAGGAACATCTGACAACATTGTATCACTGAGTCTGTGTGTGATCCCTGCCCCAAACACACCCTAATTCAGCCCCTAATTCAGGGGCTCTGCCATACACAGGGCTGTGCCAGGTTGGTGGTGGCTGAGCTCCCTGTGCTAAGATGTTTAATTCCCTCCACAGAGGGAAAGCTGGCCTTGACCTCCTGAGCAGTGTTTCACATCACTATTTCCGTGTCAGGAAAGCTACTGAGTCAGGTATTACTGGGACCAGAGTATTCCACCTTTGGCTAACTCTGCTGGTTTTGTGAATCTCTTTGTTTCACTGGGGAAGGAGCAAGTATACTGGAGTGGAATGAAGTTTTACTACCAACAGGGATGCCTATAGATAGGACCTTAGGGATTTCTCAGATTCTGACCTTCAGGTCAGATGTCTGATGCTTTACCACCCCTGCTGAGATGGCCTGTTTTCTTGGGAATGATCCTGGTGAGGAGTTATTCTATCCCATAAACTTCAGCCAGCTCAGAGTTCTGTTGTGTTTGGACTGCTGCCATGCAAACCTCAAATTCTTGTAAAATTTTCTGAAATGAATGAACAATACAGCATGGAAGTTCTCCCCTGCCCCTTTACCTCACACATCCCAGTTACCCTAGAAATAACTTCTTAGTCATGCATGTCAAAGGTGAAAAGGGGGTGGGAAGAGCTGCCTGTGACAATAATCCTGTCAATTGTTGCCTCCTATTTTCATTAAATGGGTTACTGGCAGCAGGTGTGTGCTGAGTTCCCCTCATTGCCCATGACAGTCACGGAACTCCTGTCCTGGCACTATCAGCAGTGGAACATTTTGGGGGGGGTCTCCCAAACTGGGGACACCTGAGGGGGAACAGAGAAAGTCACCAGGAGCCCACAGCCAGTGCAAGAGTGGTCAATGGGACCTGAGTGTGGCCAGGGGAGCACTGGTACAGCCAGCACCCATTGCTCTACCTTGTGCTAGACCCTACAATTTAAGGCATTATGTCAAGACAGCTATGAAATCCCAGCTATTTTATAACAAAACTTGAAACATCAGTTGAAGGTAAGGGCTAGTTTTTTCAGTATTTATAATGTTTCTCAAGCAGTGGTCCATAAAGGAGCAATAGCCTTTGAGACCTGAATAAGTGGTCCCCAGGTAGCCTACAAAACCACATTTCCTTGAAAAAGGACTGGAAAAATCCAAAGGGAACCAGTCGATCTATTGTAGTAGCCTATTAATGTTTTAGTCAGTGCTTTTGCATTTCAAGCTGCAAGCCACAATGTGGTTATTTTATTTTCAAATGCTTGAACAAACCATTCAAACGAGGCTTTATCAGAAGTGCAATTGTTTTTTAACTTCAAAAAGGACAGCCTAATAAATTGTGGAGAATGAGGAAAGCCCCTTATAGTGAATGCAACAGTACAGAAGTGACTCATGATCTAAAGCACGAGCAATGAGGGGGTCTGGCTGATGGTGTGACTGTTGTGTGACACAGAGCCAGGTGAGCAGGCACAGGCAGTGTGTGCAGGGAGATGCTGGATGAATGCACGAGCTGGTATTGATGCCAAGAGGTGCCTACACTTCACTGGCCTCATGTTGTGTGCTGCTCATGGCTGGCCACACTCCAGCTCCTCTAGACATTATTCCCTAGTGTCCTGAGGATGTGTTTTGGCTTGAGGTAGCTGTGCTTAAAGATTCTCGAGAAGCACAAGCCAGGAGAAGAACACCAGGTATTTGTCCTTTCCTGCTGCTTAAACCTCTGGAGGAGCTGGCCTGAAAACGTTGCAGATAGCAGTACTAAAGACAACACTTTCTGGATAATATGGGACATTTGGTGGATAAAAACATGAGAGATGTAATGCAATTGTATTTCAATATCTAATTAGTTATTTGTCCAAAAGTGAATTGGTTACATTCATGTGTCTGTGAAATAAGTCAGGAATCTTCAATATGTCTTCAAGTTACCTAGGAGCATTAAACTAATAATAGAAATGAAAAGTCTAAAATGTAGTAAAAATATTTTACTTTAATCTACTTTCATGTTTTCAGACTTCTGACATCATCCTGTTGCCTTGTTTTGCATTGTATTAAAGGATGGAAGTCTAGTCACTGATTTTGTTTATTTTATAAAAGAAATTAAACAGAAACATTAGCATGGCTCTGAAGTATATTTTCATTTTATTGAGTATTAGTTATTCTTAGAAGATAAACCTTTTTTGTTTTCCTTCTTGGGATTTTTTTTTTTTCAGTTTGCAAATGTAAAAATGACAAAAGAATCCAAGATAAAATTTAAAATGAACTGAAAAAAAATTACAGTCCAAAATGTGTTTAGGTCTTTTAATCTTATCAACAAGGCACAACATTGAAGAATTGAAATGACCTTCAGAGGGTTTTTGTGTGTAGTTAAAGGCATAAACAGGAATATGTAAGGAATATAAATTTTTTTTTCTTTCACATGTGCTTGGTTAACACTATGACTCTCGACCTTCTTGTCTTTCAGCCACATAATCAATGAGCTGATAGAAACAGAACGGGTTTATGTAGAAGAACTTCAAAGTATAATAGAGGTAAGAAACTCTTCTGAAATTACTTTTTGGTGCTTAACCTCTAAGTCATCACTGCAGGTGCACATCCTTCATGGGCTGAGCACTCCCACCTCCTGTTTATAACACACAGGCTGTGTTGGCAAGATAGCTCAGCCTTGGAGATGGAGAATGGGAAGGATGTTTTGAACATCCTTCCTCAGGTCTTAAAGGAAAAGGCTTAAAGGGCCTTCTGTGGCCTAAGCCCACAGAATGACAATTTGCATGGTTCTGAAAGTTCTGGACAGAAAAGGAGTTAATAATGTCTTTTCAAAATATTACCAATAGGTCTCAGAAGCAGCACCTTTGATGTCCATGGGGCCAGACACTAAATTCTGTGAATGTACATTTGGAAAATTATTGAGAAAAAGGAAGGTGCCCCTCCTGCTCTTCTTTATTATCCCATGTTGTCCTTGAACACAGAAAAAAAAATGCAGCTCATGCTGCAAATTTAATTCTTGAGCTTTTGAAACTCATAGGATACCAGCATACTCAGTGTGTGTGGGGTCTGAGGTCCTTAATCTGTGGGAGGATCAGAAGCTGAGTAGGGATCAATCATGCTTATATTTGGGTGGGACTTTAAGGACATGTGGTTGGTTCTTTATTGCATTTGTTCCATGGGAGCTGGCAGCTCTGGTAATTGATATATTACTCCTGAGTTTAAAATCAGAATGTTCTTCTCTCAAAGCTATTATTGAAGAAACACAATCCAGTTTTTACAAGAAACAAACAAAAAAAAATAGTCAAACCAAATACCATGGTTCAACAAATAAATCCAAACTAACTCTTGTGCAATGAAGCAGGGTAGCAGAAAGGTATCTGTCTGTCAATCTTAGCAGTCTCCATCCCTACATGACCCAAATGGCTTTTGAATCCTAGACACATAATTTCATCTATTTTTTATTAACCTTGTGACCTGTGGTCATCTGTGGTTAAAATGTGTTTGCACAGTTACAGGGTAAAATCTCTGGGGAAAACCAGAAGCATCAGAAATTCATGGGAGCAACAAAGCAGCAGGCATGGGAGAAGCTTTGTTTGCTCTGTGGAGAACAAAAGCACATGGACTTTGGAGCTTTCCAGTGCCTTGAGCAAGTACTTCTTCCCTGGTGAAAACACACTGGTTTTATTTCCCACTCTTCTCTGCAGGGGTACGCTTCAGAAATGGACAATCCCAATTTAGTACATCTGATTCCATCTGCACTTCAGAACAAGAAGGAAATCCTTTTTGGGAACCTCCCAGAAATCTACTATTTCCACAACAGGTACATGGGAACTGGTGGTTGTCCTGTATCCTTGGGTGCCACCACCATGTCCAGTCTTTTTCTCTCGGGTGCTTTGTCATGCTCACATGTACAGTGACAGGAAAAGTTATCCTCACTTGGTCTCTGTGTGTATCCTATATACCCATGTGTAGAGAACCCCTCCAAGATCATCTATTTCATCTTTTCTTTGGTGAAGATTGTACCTTTTGTGCATTTACAAGTGATTTCCTCTGGCAGGATTAATTTTGAATGCCCCCTGTGGTCACTGTTTTACCACCTCTTGGTACACTGGTAGACATCACAGGACTAAATCCTGGTATTTTCTGTCTGGCAAAATACCTTTGTGAGGAAGTTTTCTTAGTTTTCAACTTATTTGTCCTGTATTTCATTTGATATCAGATATTTTTCATATTTATATCAGATCAGAAGACATTATATATTTGATACCACCTTTCTTCATTTCCCTTATATAAGATCACAAACCTTTCCAGAAGCCATGTCCATAGTGTGGACAAGGAAATCCAGAGCCCATAACTACAGAATACAAGTTATGAACAAGATTTACCCTCTTGCAATCGGCTTTCAAAACACAAAGCTTAGAGCAACTCCTACAAATTTCCTGCTTTTCCTAGCCTTGCTTGAACAAAACTGGCTATAACCAGACTAGGAATTTAGGAATTCTTTTGAATAATAGTTGCCTGTAAAATGTAACAAACAGTTGAACAAAATAAATTTTAAAAATCTCTTTTGCAAGTCTTAATATTATGCCAGAGTAATTAATACATAGTAGAAAAATTATTTTCGAGTTTATATATAATTATCAAACATTGTGTCTTCCATTTGGAGAAGGATGTTCCTCTCCCTTTGCAAGCCCAATTTCCCTAAAGGGAAAGCCCTTTCTTTCCCTAAAGGTTTAGTGAATTGACTGTCACTGCAGAAGCCTTTGGACTACATCCCATATTTTCACTGCTTCCTGATTGAGCAACTGCATCTGATAGAGCATTCCTGTCTGTTCTAGCTGTTCTGAAAAATCCTTGTACCCAAGTGGAAAGCAGGTATTTGGGCTACAGATTGGAAACAAATTTCAACAGCCAGAGGAATCAGATGTAGCAGATGCTTTTGAGTAGAGAAAATATGATAATATTTGTGATTTAGGGAATCAGGTAACAGCTACATCCTGTTTTTCTAAGATATATATTTCTTGGTGTATCAGAACTGTTACCTTCCCCACTGGATCCTCATATTACTAAAAGGAAGGCTTTAGGTTGCATTTACACAGAAGCTAACACACAATATGTGTAAAATCAACAATCCTAATTTTACATTACTGTTTGCTCTTTTTTTCTCCCTCATAGGATTTTCCTTAAGGAGATAGAAAATTGCATTGAAAACCCTGAGCTTCTTGCCCGGTGCTTTTTGAAAAGAGTAAGTATATCCTTTTCCAGGTTTCAATGAATATCTATGGTCTTATCCTACAGTACTTACAGATTTACTTCCATCTTTTCACTCTGTTTGCTTTTGTTAATGAAGGAAACTCCTCTAAGCAGCTATTCCCAAATTAAGCCACAGTTACCAAGCATGTATTCTGATATCTCACCCTTTACCTGGTCTACTGACGGGAACAAGTCTGTTACCAGTGTTTTACAAGTATTTTAAGTCCCATTTAAAAGAAAAAACCCAACAAATAACAGTGATCCAAATGTTTGACATGCTTTTCATATCAGACACATCTGTAGCAGGAGTCTGATGTAACCCCGACACCACCCTGCAGTAAATAAGCAGAGGAGGTATCGGTGTCGCAGCAGGTTGCTCTGAGTGCAGACAACACATCCTGTTCCAGCTTTATCTTATCTCTTCTCTGCACTATTCAGGACACTTGGTCCCCTAGAACTGTCCCAGCAGAGTCTGTGCTGTCCTTGCATGGACCCCCCCAGCTCCATAAGACTCTGTGAGGTGGATTCCTTCACTTCTGCACAAAACAGGTGGGATTCTCCCCTCTGCTGCGAGGTGCCTCTCAGTGCCCAAGTGCTGCAGCTCTCTCTGAGAGCTCCTGGTGATGTCCCTCCTCCACCTCCACCCCCACTCAGCCTGACCATTAGTTCTTTCCTGCAACACAACCAAAGGTGCTTGTTTTTATAGCACTCCTTCAGGGGCCCTACTAATGAAAAAAAATCTGTTTTGGTGGTTTGCTACTGCTTTCAGAGTTTGACAAAACTGTGTGAATAAGGCTCTGTGTTTTGCACAGGAAATGGAAGTGGCATGAGAAATGGGGAAATCTGTCCACTGTAGTCAAAAGTACCTCCTGCTTCTACTGTATACTACAGGTAGCATTTGCTGCTTTTCCAGAGCACACGTTAAATACAGACAGATTTGGATGAATCAGTCAGAGGTGCTGAGCACTACCACATTACTGAGATTCAGTGGGAATTATGAGCATGTGATACTTGCAAAGGGTATGCTTCCAATTTACAAACAGGTCAGGCCAGAGAGAATCATACAAGTGTAAATGTGATTATGTGTTCATTGGATTATTTTCTGTTTAACAACGAAACATTTAGAACTTGAGTAAATGACACTGCTAAGGCATATGTTGTTATCCTAGGATTCAAATGCTGGGCAGGAAAATACTGTGGTGAAATAATTATGCAAAAGAGGATAAGCAGTCTTTGAAGAATGCAGACCTTTGAAACCCAGGAAATGTAAAATAGTCCATGTGTTGCATATATTCTTAAAGAATGCAGCTAAATAAAAATTCTTGGTATAGAATTGTTCCTATGATTCTGCAGAAGGTTCAAATTCCACATTTAAATATTGTAGCTTTTGTCTCTCTGTAAAAGCAGCTGTTAAGCCCAATTCTTGTCACTATTTTACCAATATGAAAACAGCACTAAAGCTGAGGTTCAGGTATGAACTGAAAGAAAACCAGTCCCTCCATCGCCTTGGCTCATCAGTTTCTGTGGCCTGGTCAAACCACACTAAATCTATCAAATAAGAGGTTAAATCATGCATTTGCTTTCTCCCTACTTCAAATTTCACACTAAGACAGCACAAGCTTCTCTCTTGAGATGTCTCTGCTCGCACAGTAGCACCTTTGATTCGAGAACTTGCCCTTATGTTCTGTTTTTAGAAGAAGCCACATAAAGTCTAGAAATGTGTTGTTTCTGTTGGACTGCCTTTAGGAGGCACAAACAAAAGTCTGGTTGTGTGTTTGTGTTCCCCATGATTTGGCAGCTTTTTATACCTTCCTGCTGAGCAGTGGCTTCTGGCTGCCCGTGAGTTACGACTGTGCTTGCTATGACAGGGGGAAACAGAAGCAGCTGCTGTTCCAAGTGATGCTGAGTTCTGGGAGGAAACTCACATTGTTGCAGGTTCTCCTTCTTTCTATGGGTGTGGCCATCCTGCCACAACAACAGCCTAAGCCTATGACTAGAAACAGACAGTTATTTTTTAGATTCAAACTTTGAAGAGTTTTACCCTGACTGATCACACTGGGCCTTTTCAACCCTGATTCCAGAGCTGCTTGAAAGTATCCTGAGAGCTGCAGTGAGACACTCTGGTGCCAGAGTCACTCCATTCCTGGCCAATCATTCCTCTGCCATGTCCCCACACACTCTTCCCCCTCCACCAATGCCACCTGACCAGCTGTCACCATGAATGTGAACCCTTCATCTCAGGTGAGGGGAGAAACAGCCTGTGGAGTCTCTCTCTGGCTTCTCTCTGGCTTTGTCTCCTGGAACACAGCAGCAGAATCTGGTAAAAGATGAGGCAAAAATGCCTTTCTTGTCCTCCCTCCCACTTTGCCTGACCTCTTTTAGGGCATGATCTTCATATGAGCTAAATTACAAGTGAGCCAGCTCAGCTTTTCCATGTGGCAGCTATTTTGCCATCACCAAGATGCTTGACCTTACTTGCAGCTCTGTGTGCCCAAGGACTACACAGGTTTCAAAGACAGGAGGGAATATGCACTGAATACCTTGCAGAATGGGTCTTCTGGTGCTTTATCAGCAACAGGAGGGACATGCTGGGCTGATCTGATGTACAAAGAAAGGGCTGTGAAGGAGGAAAGCTTACCAAGCCAAGGCAGGAAAGCCCAGGATGGAACCAAAGGTGTGTCAGACTGCTTACGAAAATGTGCCAGGTGATGTATCTGGCAGGAGTGATTCACTGTGGATTACCACTGTTCACTTATTCATATTGCTAACCTTATAAAAAGGAATAGTTTAATAGGAGCCAGCAGTTGGACATTTAGTCATTCAGAGAGAAAGAAGCTTTTAGAAAAGGAATCTGCCTGTGAAAGGACAGTAGCAGCTGACCAGAAACCTGTGAGTTAGATTCAAATGTCTAAATTCTAGACTAATGCAAAAATTATTCATAAATCAGCAGTCAAAAAGGAAATTTTAATTGTGTATATATGCCATGTGCATTGGAGATTATAGAGCTCTCAGGGTCCAAAGAAGTGTGGAAAGGAAAAACTTTACAGGAGAGAGGAGCATGGTGTAAAAGTACCAGCAAGAAGTCAGAACCTTTGCAAGTGAAGATAGAGATGTGTGGATTATTTAGGACTGAAATTTGAATAATTAGACAATCAATTACTTCTTAGCATTTTAAAGTCTGAGCTTAATTCTATTCCTAACACTATTGCAAAACTTAAAGCTGTAATTAAATATGTAAGTATCTGCCTGAGTAGGTGTCACTGATTTAGGCAGCAGTAGATTGCTCTGGTGTAGGGTGGTTCCACTATGGCAAATTACTGGTAAATTGTTGGTTATTATGCCTTTTCTTTAAGTTTACTTGGTTCTTTTCTCTTATTCCTAATAGTTCTCTTGTCTGTTGCTCTCTCAATTCTTACCCAGTCCAGTTAGGTTTCTGTGGGCCAGGATGAGATTGTAATGCTTGATTATGCTTTGTTGCTGTTTTTACTTCTGTGGGATTTACCCCCTGTTAACTTCCCTCCAGGGCAATATGTACAAACAATTCTATTTTTGTGAAGAAAAGTCTGCACCTATTTTAAAACAGCACCACTAATAATCCATTGAGTTGCAACAGAAGAGGTTTTTGTGTTGCATAATCCTTGACACAGTGTGGTGTTACGTGTCACAGCTCTGATTTCACAGCTGATTCATCAGGGTGATGTCAGGATGGGTCTCTAGAGGAAGACAGCAGCAACACTGATTTCTTCTGGTAACTGTACAGAGGGAAATGATTTCCCTGCAGCAGGAGTGTATGGGAACTGCCTGGTAGGCTGGAAGCATAGAGGAAAGCACAGATCCAGGAATTGCTGAGATTTATTTTTGGTGTTTGATTTGCTGAGGTCAGATCCAGCAGGGCAGGTGCAGATGAAGGTGGGAAGCTCCCGGCTGGCCGGGCACAGCCAGCCCAGCTCAGGAGCCCCTGGCACTGCCCTGTGGCCACCTGGGTGCACAGCCAGCAAGGCCAGGACCTGGCAGAGGAGCACCCACACAGCCCAGGGAGCTCAAACACCTTCTCTGGGCTTTTCTAGAGATGGTCTCTGTTTTCACTGAAGTCAGTGAGATTTTTGCCATGGCCCTCAGTGAGAGCACTTGGAGTGTAGTCAAAACTAAATAAAATTATTCCACCCACTTCTAATTCGGAGAGAACAGGGTTTAAGTACATCCCCCTGCCTGGCCTGGGACACCAACAAGACAAACTTCCTCCCTTTTAATTTGTCCTTGTACTATTGAGAGCCAACATTATTTTTGAAGTGTGTTGAACTGGTAAACCTTAATTATCATTAACAATTACAGTCTGCGGCAGTATTGTTAATAAAGTTTAAATTTCAAATGTTCTTTTTTGCTTTGTTTTTTTTTTTCCCCAAACAATCAATTCACCTCCCTGAAAAAGATGCTGGTTTTGCTGTTAGATTATGTGTCTTCCAGTCTGCAGTCTCCTTGCTTTGTGTGAAAAGTGAAGGAAAAAAAAATAATGTCATTTTCAGATGTATTTAACTTAATCAGAAGTAAAAAGCAGGTTTGGTGGTTTCAGTATGTTTTTACATGCAGAATTATTTTCATGTGATAATTACTTGATGTCTTAGGATGGAAGGTAAGAAAAAGTGTGATTCAAGAAAGACACTGTCTGGATTCTTTTTCCTTCCCTTACCTAAACTCTTCTTTTCTTGCAGAAGGAGGACCTTCAAATATATGAAAAATACTGTCAGAACAAACCAAGGTCTGAAGCTCTCTGGAGACAGTGTGGAGACAGCACTTTTTTTCAGGTGGAATTTCATTGCAGATTATCAGTGCAAGACCCTCAAAGCTCGTTTTCCTTGTGTATCTCCATTCTTTAGAAAACCTAGAGTAACACACAGATTTTTCTGCATGCTTCTTATACCGATGGCAGGTGCCCAGTGTGTGTCAAGGTGCTCTCTACAGGAGACTGGGTAGGGAGAGCAGTGGGTAGATTTCCTGGACAGGAGCCTGACTCTGCAGGCTATACCCACACCAAACAAGTGCTGGCTTCTTTGCAAATCCCAGCTGATTGCAATCTTATCAGCAGGGAATGCCAGATTTCGACACCAAGTTGAACCTAAACATTAGCTCTTGTTTAGATATATTTTCACTGTGGTATAAGTAACCCGGAAATTCCTATGCAGATGGAACAAATTTCTCTCTCAATTAATTCACAGACATATAATCTTCAGATTGTCAAAGGATAATTATCTTGGTGACTTGCCTGTGTTTCAAGAAACAATTTTATTTTTCTTCTGTGTTGTCTCCTACAGGAATGTCAGCGCAAGTTGGATCATAAGCTCTCACTTGATGCTTATCTCTTAAAGCCAGTCCAGAGAATCACCAAGTACCAGCTGTTGCTAAAGGTAAATTCTCCATGACACTGCAAAGAATCCCAGTGTAGAGCTTGCTTTACTTCCAGAATTGCATATCAGTCAGGACTACCTGGGAACAAAGCCTCACTCAGTTCTTTAGCAAATACTCAGCATTTTTTAGTTGTAAAATGGTAGAAAACAGTCTGGTACAGGAACTTGTATTTTAGATTGGGAACGACCATTACTTACTACTTATACTAAGTAATAGCAGTGTACTATTATAGGTACTCTATATAAAGCAAGACATTTTACTTTTTAAGATAGTATTTTATTGTCTTATTGTTTTATTTTTTTTAAACAGAAATTGAACTTGACTTTATTGTATCAGTATATGGTCTTACAATTTGAAAACACGAACTGATATCTTAAATCCTGTCTGTAACATCTGTCCCTGTTTAACAAAACTTTCAGCTCTCTGCACTGCTATTTTCCCATGGTTGTGACTCAAACCTTTCAGAGGGAGCCACTCCCTTTTGCTGTTTCTTTTTAAAAGACACAGCTAGGAACAAATTGTAATTTTTCCACAGGGTGAATATGTGAACTTCCCTCTTGATTTGGCTGGAACCATGAATGGTCCATGCTTGAAATTCTGGTCTGAACTGGGCAATAGAAATTATATATACACTCAAAACAATGATTTTTTTTTTTTTCTTTTTAAGGTGGTGTCTTAAATTTCTGTCTCCATCTGCTCTTAAAAATAATATTTACTGACTTTCCCTATGGGAAGGTCATGAAGATAAATTACATGTTGCTCCCAAGCCTCTGGACTTAAAGTAGTGTTATGCACTGTCATGAAATTTAGCATTGAAATTTGCAATGAAGATTTTAGGTTGCCATTTAACTTGCTAATAGCTGCTATGGCACTGCTCAAAATGTGCCAGTATAAACCATGGGAAGACGTGGTTGGCCATTCTTGTACATTATTTCTGTGAACTGCTTACATTATTGACTTAATGTAAAAGTACAGAATCCAAATATTGAACATGGGTATTGACAAGGATGCAACTCCAGTGATTCCTGTAGATTTACATCAACATAGTCCAGAAATAATTTGAACTCTATTTCTTGATACTATTCTGTGAAAAGGGAAAAAAAATCTCAAGGTCTCCAGGAAAGCAAGAGTAAACCAGATTTTACTTTTAATTTTAAATACGACTGTAAATAAAGCCAAGATTAGATCAAGGAGTAAAATTCTCAAGCAAAACAGGTCTCAGCCATTGGGGCTTGAAGCTGGTCAGACCAGTTTCGTACTTAGCAACAGCACATTGGCACTGGCATTTACTTTGTCAGGGTTTATGAGATCTGGGAAGATGGTGCAGTCCTTCCCTGGCTGCAGGAGCATTTAAAAGTGTCGAAAAATGGAATCCAGTGAAAAATTGGTAACAAACAAGTGCTTAAGAAGCTGTGTGCCTTGAGTGGTGAGCAGACTGGATTTGAATTTTGGGTCACAGTTATTGCAACCCTCTGGTTTCAATCAGTTTAGCTAATATGCTCATGCTGATAAAAACAGCATGATCATTGTACAGAGATCCATTCTCATCTTAGGAAATGTGCAGCAGGTACTACAGGAATGCATCCTGCTTTTACCTTCTAATCCCTGGTTACCCAAGCACTTGAGGAGAGACTGCTGCTGTTTGGGGTTTGCAGGAACTACTTTTTTGCATCCTTATTTTACAAGGAACACAAGTGCCTCAGCTTTTGGATTAAAATATTTCCAAACTGAAAATGTGGAATGTCAAACTTGCCAAACTCAGACTAGAAATTCATATTTTAACAGTGATAGTAAGTACCTTGTGGAACTAATTGCAAAAGAAAATTGGTAATTGTCTAATACCTGAAATAATTATATTGAGTTTCTGTTCTAGCAGATGTGAAGGAAAAAAAACCCTGGATGCAATTCTATGACATGCAAGGAGTTCATTGTAAACATGTCAGAATGGTCCTGTCTCATCTTAAATAAACTCTTTAAACTTGAAAATGTTCAAAAGATCAAAATATGTGTCCTCAGTGACCACCCCAGTGAATGTCATATTTGGGGATTTTGGGGCTTTTTTTGCTCCTCTTTTGTTTTCCGCTAGTTATGCAACACAAATTCCAGGGAGGATCATCCTACTGTGTCTTCTGGTATCAGAAGTTCTCAAGTATTCCCCATATCTTTTTTTATCAGGAAATGCTGAAGTGCAGCAAGAATTCAGAAGGTACTGCTGAATTGGAAGAAGCCCTGGCCACGATGCTAGATATCATCAAATCAGTGAATGATTCCATGCACCAGATAGCAATCACAGGATATGAGGTAATTGCTGCTGTTGTTCCTACCCTGGTCTGAGCCATCCCATGCTCCTGTCATCACTGATCATGCTGTGCCTGTGGCTGGTACTGTGCTTTAGGGAGCCTGTGCCACGTTCTGGAAGGATGTCACTCAGTGGTGTGTTGTGATGACCAAAAATACATCTCAGCACACCTGTCATGTGGAGCTGGGGTGTGAATGTGGGGACACAATGGGGCAAATGCAGGACTTTTGAGTAATTGCACCCAAAACTCATTTGTAGGTAAGAGGTGCAAGTGTGGCAGAATGAAAGAAATTTGCTGAAATTTTGTGACTCCTGTGCAACTCAAGTGTTTTCAAATCTTTTGCACTTAGGGAGAAAAAATTGGCTTTCATTTAAAGTGGGTAATGGAATCCATGCCACTGATTGGCAAGCTTGTTATCTGAAATGTGAAATAACAACCAGGGTACGAATCAAAGGGCACAAATATATACCTCTGCAGAAGCTCCATTGAAGTCATATGACTTTCAAGAACTAGCTGATTACATAAAATGAGCCCTTAAGTGAGAAGTGGAAGTGATTGACACATAAAGGAGAAACAAGCTTGGCAAAATGAGGCCTGAGAATCATGTGGTTGCCCTTTTTGAAATAGCTGCAGGGTAAAAATGTCAAGAAAGAAACAATATACTGAGTATTGTTCAAAGAATTGTTACATCACAGTAACAGGCTTTAATCCAGACAAACTATTTTGTGTGAAATCTGACTTCCTGAGAAGGTGTTGGGGCTATACAGATAATGTCTGAGCGGGAAGAGTTATTCTGGTTTTCAGAATGGGAGTGTCCTCAGAAGTTTTGATTTCTATAGTTCTATTCTGTGAAAGTGCATCTGCATCTGGTAGCTGAGGAACCCATGTCTGCTGCCAGCATGACTTTATAAATAAATTCAGTGCTTGCTCGTTTAACTGCTTGTCAGAGATCCACTGCTGCACACAGCTGGAGATGCTCCTGTGGACTGTGCATTTCCTTTGGGATGAGAATGTGAGTTCTGCCTGCAGTAGCTGGACAGGGTTGAAGGTGAAACAGGCCACCTCATTTTACTGGTAAACACTGAATAGGCACAAATAAATAAATAAAACATCACATAATCCATTCTGGTCATGGCTGAGTTTGAGTGTCTCAGATACTCATTTTAGAAAAACTCTTTAGAGCCTGTACATTATTATTTCAGACGTGAACCAGTCAACATGGGCATGGGAAGCTCATGGATGCAGCACACATTTTAGCTCCCCAGTTTCCACTGTTTCTTATTAATTCCCAAAGAGAAAGGCAGATTTCCTCCTGTGTTTCTCAGTTTAAATGTATGTACTTACAGCAATTTAGCAAAAAAAAAGTTTTGAAACAGTTCTGTAAAGGGAAAAGAAGAAGAGCTTCTCTAAGAAAGGTAACATACTATCCTGAGCAGGGGGATTTATCCAGATTCCTGTCCATATAAATATTGAGGTCATCCTTTTGTTTATTCCTTGCTTTAAAGCTAGAGTAGTTTTGTACACAGGAATTCAACAGAACATTCCTGTTCCTTTTCAACTTTTACTTTTGAATTTTCCAGCCTTTCATGAAATGCCAAATAATAACTCCAAGGACTTGATTTTTGCTTCTGCTTTCTTAGCTGAACTGTAAAACCTGGCACAGTGGGACATAGCCACTGCTTAGCCAAATGATGACAGCCATCCTGAGATGGTTTGCTGCATGATTATTAAATGGGGTGAAAGTGTGAAAGAGGATGGGCCCAATAATTTCTTCTCCCTGTTCCACCTGTCCCAGGTGCTCAGCCAAATAAACAACTCCCATAGATGATGAAACCACACCCCATCTTGTGGAATCTTTCCCACACAGCCATGATAGAAATACTTGCCTGGAAAACGTTTCAGGCCAGGATATTATACCAGTAGGAAAGCAGGTTTTGTGATAGCTGATGAATGCTCACAATTTCATAAGATATTCTGTTCCTTGGACTTGGGCACATGCAGATTTGAGGACCTGAAGTCTTGTGTAAGAAATTGCTAACATGTAAGTCTGGGGTTGGTTTGGTGTATGTTTTCTATTTTTAGGCAAAAACACAAAAAAAAAGCAGGATAAAGCTTGGAGAGCAGAAGTTTTAGGTGTGTTCCCTACTATCATCCCAATATTTGTACACAATCTGGCCTAGGTAGTTTGTCCATGAATTATGATGAGAGATTTTTATAATTTATCATATGTATCATTCAATAAACATGGGATACTATGTATTGCTCAAACAGGGAATAATTATATTTGAGATAGCGATCAAATCCTACACTTTAAATAAACTTCCTTTAAGATAAAATATTGCTGTCCACTAGCAGAAATTACCAGAAACAGTATCCTCCTATTTGCTGCTTACACTGAAGAGAATGCAGTGCTTGTGGGCTAATATTCAAAGTCTCCTGTGGGATTGCTGCAGACTGCCATCCCTGTCTGTCTCTTTCTCTCTGCAGTGGCAGCCTCCCACTTCACTCACTATTATCCCAATCCCAGATTCAAGGTGGGAGAGTCAGGCCTGTCTCAAGGGCTGAACTGAGCTTCTGGATCTCAGTGCTGTATTGAAGAGTGCCTGGAGTGACAGGAGCCTCTCACCATTGTCAGAACCATGTTGAAAATATGCTTGGGTTTTTTTGTTTTTGTTTTTTAATTTAGCCTTGCATATCAATGTGCTTTTCACAGGCTTGGCATTTATAGCTACATGCACATATAAATACAAACACCCACAGTCCTGTATGCACAAAGATCCAACTCTATATATTAGAGATGACAGACTTTATCTAAATTGCTGAGGTTTTCTGAATGGTTTGGAGAGTCTAATAATACCCTGATATAGAGTGTAAAAGTATCTAATAAAGCTCTGGTTTTGCAGTTGAGTGTAGGGTAGAGGACGAGGAATGAGAGGGAGAACAGGTTGAAATTCTTAGTATAAGAAATTAGGCATTCCCACTTGGAGCCAATGTCTTCACCTTATAATCAACAGAACATGCAAATTTTGAAAATAAGTACTTTAATAATGCACTGGGCTTATTCCCTCAACTTATTATACAAAGCATTCCTTAGAAAACTTGCTGTTAAGATAATTACAATTATCATTATTTGTTGAATCCCATTACCATACCATTGCCATGTCTTCTATCCATATGTTCCTCCACTCTTAACACAGAATTGGCATCTGAGTTAAGTATTTATATCAGTTGAAGTATTTACCCATCAGTGGTCTTCAGACAAGAGCTTTAATTTGGAAAAGTCTGTCTAGTTCCTGCCTAGTTTCAGTCTTCCTCAGGTGCTTTTATGGCTCCTTGGTGCATTCATTCCTTCTCTGCCCAAGGCTGTGCAGCGTTGCATAGTTTGCAGAGGGTGAGCCAAGAAACTATTGACAAAGTGTGTAAAGACTGTTTTGAAACAGGAGGGAATTACATACCTACATAGCTGTAGGCACTGATCCGTGACTTCAGGCGTCTAAGCTCTTTCAAGGTTTTGCCCAGGGATGGAGGAAACTTGTACAAGAGTGGAAAGTGAAACTAGATCTTCCAGAGTCAAAGCCTTTGCTTGGGTACTGGTCTGCACTGGGCATTCCTTGGAGTCAGGAGCCTTGAAACCCAGTTTTTGCCAGAAGAAGCTTCCTCTGAGGTCACCAGAGGGAACAGCCTGTGTGTCACATCCAAAGAGATCCTGAGATGGATCTTAAACACTAACTGTGACCGGGGAAACAAACTGGGAATTATGGACATGGAAACCAGTGAGTTTGTGGTTATAGAAAGAAACCACACAGGCTTAGCAAGGGGACATGCACTCTCCAACACAAGGGATGCCACTGCCTGGAATCTCAAACACCAGCAGAGGAATGAATTGTGCCTGGGACGACCCTGGTTTGAATGTGATGTATGCTCTTTCTTTTCCTTGCTGGCTAGGGGGATGTCAGTGAGCTTGGCAAGCTATTGATGCAGGGTTCCTTCAATGTATGGACTGACCACAAGAAGGGGCACAACAAGGTGAAGGACTTGGCTAGATTCAAACCAATGCAGAGACACCTCTTCCTCTATACAAAAATGCTACTTTTCTGCAAGAAACGTGAGGAGAACACCGATGGCCATGAGAAGACAGCTTCATACAGCTTTAAAAATTCATTAAAGGTAATAAATGCAGTAATGGTAGGGGAGGGAAATAAGTTTGGTGTTCTCCCAGGCAGGGATGTGTCTATATGGGGATTTGAAGAAGGTGTATATATCTGGAGCTGTCTTGCACCCCTGAGTAAATGACAGCTCCCATTTAGTCTTGGGCTGGAGACAGACCAAGCCATATATCCTGCAACTGCAGATGTGAACCTTGTTCTTTGCAACTTGATGCAAAGGGACACGGTGTGTTCTTGCCCAGCATCCCATAAAGAGGAGCCAGACTGGATCTGGACTTGCAGATTGGTCATTAAATCTCACAAAGCCCTATTCCATCCCTCATCTTCTCCCACCTTAAAAGGTCAATGATGGCAAGTGAAAAAAGAGGCTTCCTAAAACTGAAAATTTGTCACGGTGAACAAGAGCCAGAATGGGGTTAAAACTGATCCACAGATCAAGCAATAAAAGAAAAGAGAAAAAAGAAAAGATAAAATCATGATCCGACATTAGCTTGGGTTAATTTTGAACATTCTTTTTTCCTTTAGCAATCAAAAAGATGAATGGCAAATGAGATATTGAAAAATAACATGCTCTGAATTTTACTTTTAATGACTCCCTAAGGTGTCAGAAGTGAATGCGGCCTTTAAAAAATGCTTCTCAGAGGATCAAGTTTAAAGACTACTGGTATTTTCCAGATTCCAACTTCTTCTTTTCTATTTTGAAATAGATGAGCACTGTGGGCATTACAGAAAATGTAAAAGGAGATAACAAGAAGTTTGAAATCTGGTATAATGGCAGAGAAGAAGTCTATATCATTCAGGTAATGACAATCCTTTCTGCTTCCAAGAGCTATACTTCCTTTCATTTGAATTGTTTTTAAGAATGTTCATACAAGGTCCTGTATACTCCAGAAACAACAGCCATTGAAAGCTTCATTGTTGTGTAGACACTGAAAAGCTAAAAGAAGAAGTAAAGTACTGAGGAATTTCTTGGAATGCTAGACAGAAAAGCAAGGACAAGACCTTAGGTTTGTGGTAACTTCCATCTTGAGGAGTGTCTGCTTTGCTCAAAGCTGGCCACAGTGTTCCAATCCTTGGCAAAACTGAGAGCCAGTGTAGGTCAGGGCAGCCCAGTGACTGGCAGTGTTTTAACTGGATCTGCTTTGCCTTGTTCTCTTTTGTTCTCAGGCATCTTCTGTTGAGCTGAAAAACACCTGGATTTCAGAGATCCGCAAAGTCCTGACAGGACAGCTGGAAGCATGCAGAGGTAGGGCTCACAGAGTGGGAATGTGTCCTTCCCTCTGTAGCTGTGTGTGACAATATGGGGCTGGGACAATGCCAGCCAGTACCACCAGTGAAGCCAACAAGGACCAGCTGGGCAGTTGCAGCATTGCTGGGATTTAAATCCATGTCCTGATCAAAGAAAATTTCTTGGACTTTTATAAATGACATAGATAACTATTCCTTTCACAGTTAGTCCAAGGAACATGGTTTTCCTCTATTGTCCCTCTCAAGTTACAACTCCAGAAGCATCTTTTTACACCAGCATGTGAGGAAATGAGGTCTGCACTCTGTGTCTGCTCACAACATCTGCATCAAAAGTTCTCCTTACACATCCGTGACTGTACACAGCAACTGCCCCTCTGTCCTAGTGTTTGCTTTGGGTTTTTTTGGGCTTTGAAGGTTTTTTTTTAAATCTAGTCACCCACCTTATGTTCTAAGTGTCAGTTGTCCCACCTTTCCATCTTAGTGACCTCCCTGTAAAATATAGTTAATGACATTTCCCCTCTCTCACAGAGATGTCAGTATGAAGGTGGTTTGTGACATGTTCAACACCATGAATGATTGAAGCTTCCTAAGCACCTAAGATAATGACACCCTTTTTCATATAAGATATTGAATCCTAGACAGACAAAATTCAGTCAGGTTATTTCAGAGAGTAAAAGAACATAGTGATGATAGCTATCATAGATGTTATTCTATTTATTCTCTTAGGACAAAAAAGCCCCACAGACTTTTCCTGGATCTTGGTATTGCTTCTCACCTTGGTCTGTCATTTTCTGCTTCTCTCATACACTCATCTCTCTTCAAAGCAACATCAGCAAAGCCTCTCCACCCACATCCTTTAAATTCCTAAGCAGAATTTGTCCGAGGTTGAAACCTGTGTCTGTGCTTTAATTTTAGAGGTCACCTCTATTTTAATTGTCTGTTTCAGAAAGACAATGAGTCCTTACAACCTCCTTAGGTAGAAGGAAACAATTATGAACCTTAGCCTCAGCAATTTGATCCAGCCCATAACAGTACACTTATTTACAATGTTTTCTATACTGGTCTTTTGTTACTCATCTTTTCTTCATCCTTTCTCCTTTTTATTCTGAATTTTACTGTGATTAGTTCATCAGGAACTGCTGAGGAAAGACCTCAAGATTCTTGTTAATGCAGTTTCAGGACTGGATCTAGAGGCTTTTTGATATGGTTTGTAATATTTACTTCTGAAGTATAAAAGCTGGTGACTTAGGCTACCACAGAAGAGTTACTAATGGAGAAAAATGTACATATTTAATAGGATAAAGAGCTACTCCCCCACTGGTATTTCTAGGCAAAGGAAATTAAACTTGTATGTTACCCAGATGAGCATTTGTGAAGTCTCTATAGCATACAAGACCTATTAGCAAGAGTTACTTTACTTTTTCCAGAGAAAAAATATACAGGAATCAAGACCAATTGAAGCATTTTTAATTTGATGTTCTTTATTGTGTTGCCCTAAGATCATACGATTCTAGAATATCTTGGGCTTCAAGGGACCTCAGGATCTCACAGTCCAAGGTCCTGCTCAGAGCAGAGTCAGTTATTGGTCAGACAAGGTTACTCAAGACTTTATTCAGTCTAGTCTCAAGACCATCCAAGGGTGACTTTCATTCTACTCTATGGGTAAAGTCAAGCTCTCCTTTATTGTGAATTGAGCAGAACAGCAGTCAGAGGGTATAAATTTGATCTCATATGCTATTGCAACTCTTCCCATTGCCTTTTCCCAAATGATCACATTAATCAAACCCCTTACTACAATAACTGGTGTCAGGAAGCACACGCTTTGTCCTGTGGTTTTAAACTTTCTATTTCTAAAGACTCACAAAAGAAGAGGCCTTAATCCAAGACTGGTTATTTTGACAACTGAGCATTGCAATGGGAGAAGGAAGAGGGATATATTTGTTTGTTTGGCTGTTTTAAAATGACTGTTGTTAGGAGTTGCACAGGGGGTTGGAATGTTGGAAGGAACCAACTGAGATGAATGAGTGAAGGGCAGAGAAGGTGGCCACAGGATGTGATAAATAGTTTAAAATATGGGTCACTGGTGTCCAAACACTTGGTGTGTACCCAGCCCTGTCAGATATTGCAGTCAGCATGGGATGTTAACAAGGCTTTGGGCAGCACCTTGATCCATCAGTCCCAAACATAGCTGTCCCTTGCAGGCAAAGCTTAAGGGATCTGTCTAAGGCCATGAATCAGTTGCCAATCCCAGAATGGAGCCACTTCCCACTCACCACCCAGCATGGGCATTTGTACCCCACCAGCAAAGAACTTGAGTTTAATCTTTCAGTGCTGCCCTGTCTCCTTGTCACTTCACTGATGGGAGGTTCATCTTTTTTCAGTGTGAAATAGCCCAGAGATCTCAGCAATGTGAGAGTTTGAAAGCAGCTCCTTCCATTGCTTCCTCACTTCTCAGTGTCTGACTCTCCTGGTCCTGAAATCCAGGCTCTGAGAAAATGTCTTATAATTTTTCTTCACTCAGCATTTACTGGACAAAGTACAAGCCTGTTGCTACCTTGTGGCCCTGCAAAAAGCATGAACAAGTAGCATATGAATAACATTTTCTGATTGCTGTTTGCCCAGGATGCTGAGCAAAAGAATTCTGCAGAGATATGGGGATATATTCTGCTATGTAGCTGAGTATGTAAAAGGACTGATGGACGTGTGTTGCTAAATCCAGAAAAAGCTGAGCCACAAAACTTGTATTCTGGGAAAAGGGCCATTGTGTCCTTTCTCTAGGACCATACCTTGCAGTTAGCTAGGAAGAGATACAGAGAATAGGGAAGGTAGCAGGGTAAGAAGTCTCTTTAGTGCTGAAAAAATGTAAGTAGAAGAATTGTTCTGTGAGCTAAAAGGTTTCATGAAGATCTTAATATGCCTTTCTCTTCAAGTACAAGCATTCCATTTTGATTGCAGTGGCAGGCAAAATCTCTCCTCTCCTGTTTCTCTCTCCCACCTTCTATATAAACACAGAAGCAACTTACACATTTTGGAGCAACATCTTTTTTCTTTTTCTTTAACAGAAGCAAGTCAACTGCACCAAAGAATCACTGAGAGTGTGTATCATGCACCAATGGATTCCTCCAATGCAAGCAGGTAACCACAGCTGCCTTGACATATCAGGGTCATGTTTTGTCTTGCGTTTGTGCTTTTGCAGTACATAAATTCTTAGGTTTTTGTGTTTAGCTTCCTGGGTATGAATTTACTCAATTGTCTTCAAAGTCTTTAAAGATATATAAATACACATAAAGGTTTGCTTAAGAGAGAAGTAATATCACAATGCAGAATTAATTTCAAAGATTAACTCAAGTTTAGACAAAAAGTATTGGAACATTTCCAAGATCTTAAATGGAGCTGTCAGCAAAGTTTTGTAATGACCCAGTTGCTGGGCAAGTTTAATGTAAATTGTCATGGGATATCACTGTAGAATTTTAGCAGGATCAAAACCAGGAGATTTCAGGTAACAGACAGCCTTTGAGAGTTGTACAGCTCAATGCAAGAAATATTAAACAGATGTAGTGCTATTAATCCTGCACCATTTTTTTCTCTAGACTTGGTTAAATTGCTTTGTTCAGGGTTCAAGGGTGGGAATCTTTAAGCAGAACCACCTTGGGGATAGGAGAAAATTATTCCAGTAAGATATGAAGTGCAATCACAAAAATGTTTCAGAAGAATCCAGATGTGTTGTCCTTCTTAAAAAGCTCTTAAAGTGAGATTTTCCAGAGCAGAAATTATAGACAAAATATGTCAAGAGAAAATTAATTAACTCCAGGAGGAAAGACCATGTGATCAGCTATTTGTCCTAGAGTGGATTAAACTAAAGGAAAAATGAAGTGTTTGTTGCCCTCACTCTGCCAGCTGTGCCAGAAAAAGAGGTCAGATGCTCCTGCTCCAAATGCTGGGTTATTATAGGAACAGGAGGAATACAGTGAGTCTTCATGTAAGAACAGTGCTCTGGGCTGTGATGAATGGCATAAAGTTCAGGGTGTCCCATTATCTGTGCTATGTGTCCCCAAGAGGAACAGGGGCAGCAGAATCGCAGCACCAAGCTGGCTTTGCAGTAGTGGATGTGGAACAGTGGATGCAGAGCTCCTCGGACTGGGGAGTCCTTTCTGCTCCTGTTCTGGGATGCTGGGTGGAGGCAAGGAGGGGAAAAAGCTGGACTGTGATAGCCAGGATGTGGCACAGCCTGTGCTCATGGCTGATGTGACCAAGCAGCCCCAGCTGTGAGAGGTGCTGGAGACCAGTGGAGACAGCATTGGCTGAAGAGCAGCCAGCATCATCAGTGCTCTGCCAGCAGACGGAGCTAACTAATCACTGACATGTTATCTACTCCTGGGTTGCCCATGTGTGACAGTGACTCTGCTGGAATTGTCAAACCTCTGCTCTGACAATGGGGAAATCTGCTTGCAGGATGCTTTCCCTTCCCCAGGCTCTATCTGAAGCTGTCATAACTCTATCTATGACAAAGATTATCCCCTTCACTGTTTACATGCCACCAACATCACCTGGGACTGAAATTCCATGAGATAAGGCGGGTCTGACTTGGGATTGGAGCTAAGGTGTTGGGAAAAGGGACACTTAGAGCCAGTGTCCTTAATACAGGCAGTTACTGAGTGTCCCTAAATCCTGTCCAATCTATTTCAATTCTCTCTCTCTCTCCAAATTTGTCCACTGTTTTATCCTAAAATGGGATGCCCTGTGGTATCTATTGCTGGTATGTCTCTCTCAAGGGATGGCTGCTGCATTTCATTGATAATGAAATGATCCCTTTGTATTGTTTTCTAATCTATTTAAACATATGAAATTTAAATAGTCTATTGTTCTAACTGCTTAACTATCTGCTCTGTTGGAAATGACTGATGCAATCATACATCCATGTAAAAATATCCTGTGAACATGGATAAACACAAACTCTTGGAATTTGGCTGCAGATGCTGTTTCAGAAAAGCTTGTGTATTTTTTTGGTGTCTTTCTCACAGCTGTAAATCTTTAACTCTGTCAGCTGCATATTTCACAGTTATCCCAGCCTAGCTAGGAAGAAAGAGACAAAAAAGAATGAGGAAATGTGAGCGTTCTTTGGATTTGTTCCATATTTATTTTGAGCCCCATTTTGTACCTGACATTAGTCTGCAAAATCACATTTTGATTTAGTACAGGAGGTAACAGAGACCTTGCTAAGGTTCCATCAGAAACAGGTCAGAAGTTCAAATGCAAAACAATGAGTCCTGGATTGCTTTATATTAGAAAAGGTGTTTACAGCTCTCTAGCATTTGAATTTAAATTTTTAATCATATCTCAGATCTTTCCTTACAGCAGAACAAACTGCTAAGTGTAGCAGTTCACTGTTAATTGTAAGCAGCAGTTTAATTGCTGATACATGTCAATAACAAGCACCTTGGCAAAGAGTATTTCAAATGTGTAGATACAATGATTTGTGTGGAGCAGTTTGCCAAAGATAACAGTCAAACACCCAGATTAAACCATCAGATATTTGCATAACAATGAGGATAAGAGCCACAAGAAGACCTTGCATCTTGAATGTCCTACAAACCTGGGACAGGGTCACTCATCCCATTACAGACCCAAGGCCAGTGCTGGGCAGGTTTGTTAAGGCGGATCCTCCCATTTGTGATTCAGCTGCAGACAGGGATATCCCACTGGGATTCATGTTCCAGAGAGCAGAAGAAACAGTAGTTGGGGAATAGAATAGAATTCATAAGTTGCTCTGTGCATGGTGTAACCTCTACATGGCCATCCAGTATCCATTTCTCTCCTGGAGACAAATGTATTTATGCTGCAAAGGTTGGAAAATCTGGATTATCTTTTCTTACCTGGCTTCCTACTCCAAATTCTCAAATCTGTTGCACTTGCAAAAAGAACTTGCGCAGACAACCAGCTTGTTTCTCCATTTTTCCCTTCTCAAATCTGATGAAGCACATCACTCACTGAGTGTGTGGAGAAGAGGCAGGATGAGTTTTTCCCACCACACATGCCTGCACAGATGCAGGCTTTTATAGCACACAGCATTTTAAAACCAGCCCTTTGTTCATTAGGCTTCCATGTCTGAGGGTAAAAAAGAATGCTTAGTGCTCAGTGCTTTATTAGATGTTAACCAGGGATGTTACTATTTCTGTATTTCTTTTATCCCAAGGTATAGCAGGAAGTCATCAAGTATATATGAAAACAAATCTGAGGCATCAAATGTGGATGCATCTAACAATAAAAACAGGAATTCCAGTCCCAGCGCCAGACAAAAGAGAGGTAGGAGTTCTGACAGAGATTTTGCTTCCAAAGGATAATATTTTTATATTTGCACATATTTCTGGGGTTTGATGGGAATACTTTAAATCTATGCTGTTTTAACCCAACATCAAAAAAACAATGCTAAAAAGCTGAATGGATGTACCAAGAAAATTTGTGAGCACCAAAAGGCATTACCAGTTTAGAGTTTTTAAGTCTGAGTTTTGATGGTTTAGAGTGTTCTTTATACAACTTGTGTTGTTTAAAAATAGAACTTAGGGGACAATAGCATGTGTGTTTTAACCTTCTGCGTCCCGATGAAGCTGATTTCTTGACATATTTAATTTATATTTTTTTCTACAGACTTTGCTAGCTGATTTCTTTGCTTTAAGTCAAGGAGAGTTTTTTTGCCTCCTCTGTGTATATCAGTTCTCCCCAGGTGTACAGTAAATAAATCCACAGGCAGTCACAGAAAGTCCCTCCATTATTTGAGGCCATAAGTACAATAGATCTTCTATACAACAAAGGTTAAAATAAACACTATAAAGAAACTGAATCTCATCTTACAGTAGCAGGAACAGAAAATCTTTTGATATCAGTTTCTCTTTCAGGCAGTACTTCCTAATGTTGAACAAAGAATTTTCTAGTAATATGAAAAAAGAAAATTGTGAGGTTTAAAGAGATTAATGCCCAAATGAGGTGTAAGGTAACAGTGCCTTTAAAAATAAAGATAATAAAAAAGAAAATGTAATAACTGTCTTGGAAAAATGGGCTCTTCCCCAAAAGATTTTTCATTGCATTAGGTTTTCATGCTGGGAAGAAAAGTTACGGATACTTCATTTAAAAACCCAATCTTAAAATTTTGTTTCAGTAAAATTTTATTTTTAAAACATTCAGGCTTTTTTTTTTTTTAAATTAAAATAAGTGGAAAAGTAGCTTTTCCTTTTAAATTTATAAACCCCATTTAAAAAAAAAAATTCCATGAAGATTACTAATGCTTTCTAACTGTCCAGCTTACTCAAGTGTGGGAACTGGGATCACATTCTGTGCTGATTGTCATTCTTCTGTCTTCTGCTTTCCCATGAGCAGCTCCTCAGGGCTCTGGCTGGGATCCCACTGGCTCAGCCCAGAGCATCCTCATCCTCTGGTGGTTGGCTCTTCCTGCAGAGCTGGGCAGTGAGTCCATTCTTGTTTGGTGATTTGGGTGTCCTGTGCATCCTGAGCTGCAAACCTCGCTCTGCAGAGCAAGCAAAATGCTCTCTAGCTCTAGATGTCCCACCAAAACTCGAGTTTGTGTCCCTGTGAGGCACCTCTGGTTGAGGCTTTGCAGGGGGCTGAACTCAAAAATGTCCCAACACCCTGCACAGAGCCTGGGGCTCTGCCAAAATTGTCTCTTTGTGCCACCTACTGCCTGTAAAATGCTTCCAATATCAGTGTAGTTACTGTGAACACAGATTACTTTAAAATATTGGGGAGTTTCTGCAGTACAGAAGGGGAGGGTTCTATTGACAAGCTTTTTCAGTTTTGTTACTCTTATCAATAAGTGCCTGTGGCAGTTTTCTAACGTAAACCAGTGTTTTGTGTGGACCTGACTGGTGGAGTCATTGCCTTGAAATATCATGGGAGCAAATCCTGCAGGAACCTGTGGAGACCCCCTGCTCAGAGAAGAGTCAGCTGCAGCAATTTGCTCACAACCATGTCCATTTGGGTTCTGAACAGCTCCAAGGATGGTGACTCCATTATTCGCCATGGGGATGCTGTCCTAGGTTTAACCCCTTTCACAGTAGAAAGGTTTTTCACATTTTTAAATGGAATTTCCCATATTTCACTTTGTGCCCATTGCCTCTCTCATCCTTTCACTGGGCTCCACTGAGAAGCATCTGGCTCAATCTTCTTTACTTTATAAGATCCTCCTGAGCCTTTTCTTCTCCAGGCTGTGCAATCACAGCTCTTTCACTCTCTCCTCATGTCAGCTATGGCAATCCTTTCATGATCTCCACGGCTTTCACTGGATTTACTTGAGCATGCCCAGGTCCTGAGGAGCCCAGGACAGGACAGCACTGCAGGAGTGTCTCTCTTGTTCTGAGGGGAAGCATCACCTCCCTGAACAGCCCAGGATGCTGTTTGCTTTCTTTGCCACAAGGATGCATTGCAGGCTCTTGTTCAACCTGTTGCCCACCAGGACCTGGTTCTTATTATATTTGGAAATAGTTTCCAGGGTTATTTGGTATATTTACAGAATGAAGGAAAAGGTTTGAAATAACTCAGGTGGGGACAACATGAGTTTAGACACCAGTGGCCAATGCTTTGCTGGTGCTGAGAGGCTGTGGGGACTTGTGAAATGCAAAGGGGTCCCTCAGTGCAGTGATTCAATTGCAGAGCTGAAGAACTAATACAGGAACCCACCCCTCTACACATGCACTGCTGTACTCCCTGTAGGACTCTCTGATATTTAAATGCTATGGATTTTCTTGCCCTAAGAAAACAGAAAGTAAGTATATTTTTTGTACCATTTTTTGAATTCTTTATAAGCTACAGTATCTGTACAAAGATTGCCTGGCAGTGGGAGCAGCCATGGCAGGGAATGGACCACACAGATTGTCTGAAAACCAAAGGCCTCACAGCTGAAGCCACTGCTCAGAAGCAGCTCCTCACGAGATGCAACTGCCTGGCCCAGAGCTGGCACTGAGCACTGGGTAGAAGGAGCTGAACCACAGTGAAATAATTCTTCTGTGTTGTTAAAATCTGTTCATCTCACACCCACCTATGCATGCAGACACCTCGGATCCTGGATTATCTTGGCTGCAAATCAGGAAGTGATGTGATGCACTTTCTTTTGGAAGCACAGCTTGTCTGTCTGTTGCTTGTCTGTCAGTGTGGAATCACTGTCTCTTCGTGTTCCCTTTGTACTTTTGGTCTTCATTTGTCCCTTTAAAGATTTTCATGTGACAGCCTATGAAATAAAGAGGAGGAAAATATATTGGTTAAATCCCAAGGCTCACAACCAGGTACCCAACATGTGATTTTTCTCCTGCTCCTTTGCCATAAACCTTCTGGGTGTTATCTGCCCACACCAAGAAAGGAACAGATGGAGGATTTGGCAGGAATGTGTGGATCTGGGGGTTTGATCTAGGTCCACCTGTTTCCTGCAATGTGAGTAACTGAGTATCTTTCAAGCCCAGAGCCTCAGGATCTCAATCCATCTGTGACTGATCTCTGCAGAGGCAGCTGTCAGACAGCATGGCTGATTGTTCATGCAGGAGCCTGGCACGTGAGCTTTGCTGGCATGGCATCCTTACATCCCAGCAAATCAAGAGATCAGTTGCATGACTCTGCCAGCTTCAGAGGCTTTAGAAAGGCTTCAGAAGGTAAGGCTGAAGGTGTACCAGCCACAGGGCTGCTGAGGGCAGACTCTTCAGTGCCAGTACTAGATTGCAGAAGTGGAACTGCTCTCAACACTTGCATGTCCTGCACCGCAAGGCTTCTTCTCTTATTTCTTCCTACAACTCGCTGTTCCAACCAATGATGTGTTTCCATAACAGGAGGCACTAGCTTGCTGCTAAATTGTATTTTCCTTTGATAAGAGTTACTCCCTACACCTGTTATTCTTTGGTTTTGTTCTGTTGTTGTTCTCCATTAAAACTCAGTGAGCCAAACTCAACCCAGGGGCTCTGTTTGGTTCAGCTGGATAACTCACCCTGACCTCATGTCACCTTTCTAATTGATTAGCTCTTGCTCAGGCTTGAACTGAATCAAAATCTATTTATTTTGAGTTGTCATCCAGTGCTAACCTTTCCTTTCCCATAAGCTGAACAGCTGACCCTTCCTTCCTTATTTCTCTTCCCTCTCCCTCTCTCTCCTAGTTGATGCTTCCAGCAGCCTTAACCTTGAGCGCACAGCGCTTGCTAGAAAGCGATTCACATTGCAAGGTCTTTCCAACCGCAGAGCTCCACCCAAAGGTAAAATCACCCATGCAGCATTTGGTCTCAGGCCATCTGTCTCCTGCACTCCCACAATGTTCTCTCCATCCCATGGTGCCATCCATCACCGTTTCCTAAACTGCTGCTGCATCTCACCCAAATGCTCCTTTCTGGTGCACACAAGTGGCTCCTCTGCTCCAAGACACCGTCACAAAAAATTGCTCCCACAGCAGCATTGGCAAGGCAACCTCTGGGTTGGCTGGTTTGGTCTTTTACTGGTGCACTGTGCAAATAACATTTGTTTCCAGTTTCTCTCAAGGGTCAAAGTGTGAACTGGCTTTAAATGAAAAACTGAACTTCTTTCAGCAGCTTACAGGCTTGAAGAAGAAGAATGTCATATCTGTTGTGCTACATGAGATTTTAATGTGTGAAATCATTCATTGATTGGATGTCTTTGTTTTTTCAAATATTGTTCAGCTGTGGCCTAGTGGGGAACAGGAAATCTGGGGTTTTATTCCACTTAATTTTGTTATATGACACTGTAAAATGCTGTGTTTTGAGTACTTGTGTATAACTGTTTAGTAGATATCCATGAACAGAGCATTGCAAGTTCCTGTGACGGCTGTACAAGGAAGAGACTTTAGAGGAAAGAAAGAAATATTAATAGAGATTAAATTGAATGACTACTTACATCACTTTCTGAAAAGATACTCTAATTACTCCCTTTATTGATTTTGTGTGGCTTTTCTCCTGTTCTGAAAAATATTTCCTCTGTGAAACAAAGGGTTAGGATGCAGTGATGGAGAGCATGAGCATCAAAGGAGGAAAAACCAAGATGAAAGCATAAAAGCAGAAATACAGAAGCATGAAGTTATAATTGACAAAGTAGATAAGAATGAACCAAGAGTCTGCACTGCTGCAAGATTCTGGCTACAAGATTAAGGGTGCATGTGGTAGTGAGGTTCAAGGTGGACAAACAAAGTTTAATGTCTGAATATAAAAATAAGCAGGGTTTAGATCTTGTGACTCAGGAAAATCAATGACAAAACACAGATTTCAGAAATAATGCCATAATTTTTGCAAGTTTAGATCGACAATTTTGTTTGGGGTCCCTTTTACCTTTTTATTTGTGTTTTTCCTTGTCATATGAAATGTCTTGCTTTATATTCAGTGCTCCAGGCAGTGAAGCACAGCTCAGAAGAGTTTGTACCCCCTCTGCTGTAGGTACTCTGAGTTCAAAGCCTTGCTGGGTCTGGTTATTTGAGATTCCTGTGGAACACCTCTTGCACAATGCCCCATTTCACTTTGTGGTGCTGATCTGCTGCTGACCTGCTCCTGGCCAGAGGGAACCACTGGCAGACAGGCTAGGTGGCCGGCAGAGCGTGGTCATTCCCACAGGCAAATCCCTGCATGGGCTGGCTGCTGAGGCAGATTGGGAGCTGGGAGAAATGAACAGAGAAATGTCTGCAATCAGCTTGTCCTGCTCCTGAACATTTTGTCTAAAGGTTTTTGTTACTGGCCATGGTGAAGGATGGTGTATTGAGCTGAGCGTACTTAGGTTCAGACCTGTTGTGTCTGTTCCTGTCCAGAGCAAAAGGAAGGTCTAAACAATATAACCAAATATTTTACCCAACTAACTAGGGTGAAAATGAGATTGAGTATCAACTGGCAGTGGAGCATGGGTGCTCAGAGAAATGCTGAACTGCCTGCCTAGGCTGGATATGACAGGCTGGAAAATGTTGTATATAATCACTTTGGTGATTTTTTGGCCAAATGAATGTTGATGTCTGGAGAAGAAACTTTAGCATCCTGTGCTCCATCAGTGCAGAGATCCCCAAGGCAGCCATCCCAGAGCTGGCACCAAAGTGTATCGAAAGTCCACACTCAAAGCACCCTGCATCTCCCCACCACTGGGTCAGCATTAGCCATCCTGGTTTGCAGAGCCAAGTCCATATTCCTTGGAGTGGGCACAACTTCATCTCTTAGTGAAATGTGGGAAAGCTGTGTCTTTACTCCTGGGAAGACTTAGAGAAAAAGCAGGATGCTAAATAAGGAAACAAAGAAGTACTATGTAGCCTTCACTTTCTCCAAGCTGGTTTGCAGCGGTAAAGATGGAAGCTCGAGAATGTTTTCAGGCATTCACACAGTTAAATTTTAGAAATGACAAATGTGAACTCCAAACCATTCATGCTTGTTTTTCAGTGTATTTCAGGTCAGTCATCACAGAACAAGCAGTTCAGTGTCTAAAATGATCCAAACATCATCTGTAGACACATACCCCATTTGAGCCATCATGCCATTTCTCTGTGTTTTGTAGCTCTATTTGGACACTGGTTGGTTGCTAAAATAATAATTGGCATAAATCTCTTTCCTGAAGTATTAAAATTGGTGCAATTGGAATTGCTTTGAAAATATGTTCATAATAACACCTTGTGTGCTTTTCACCTTGTTGAGGCTAATTCTCCTGTCTGTTTTAGAGGAGCAACCTTTCTTTTCTTTACCCTTTTCCAGCTGCAGCTTTGCTTTGAACATCTTTTACCCTCAGTGCTTATTAACCTCTAACCCTGCCCTGCATTGCATCTGTCTATTCTCCCAGATCCAGAGTCTAAGGACAGAGAAGTTACCCGTCGCTTTTCCCTAGCCTCCTCCATCAGCACCACAGTTAATGCTTCTGCTGTGACCAAAGGTACTGTCATGCTGCTTGCTTAGCTCCCCTCTCCCTGCCTGCTGCCTGACACATTCACTGCCAAATGCTGCTCACAGAGAGAGTGCCTCAGGCTCAGCTTGTACAAAGGCAGGAGGTTCCAGTAGAAGAAGAGTCAGCACCACTGCAACACCTGCAGGGAGGCGGGCCAGGACATTTTGAATCTGTTTTGAGGTGTGCTGCCAGCACACAGACTCTTCCCAGTAGAAGAACTGTAGGCTTCAAAAAGTGTTGCTGCTGTCCATGGAAATGGGATTAATTTTTGGCTGATTTGGGGTTAGGTTTCCAACTTCTCCCTGGTTTGGATTAACTGATGTTCAATTGAAATTATTTCTCTGTTTCCTTAAAGCTCTTTAGAACTTTTGCTTTCAAGAAGGAGAAACTGTCCTCATTGCATTGCAGATATCAGATAGCAAGAAAGATGATACCAAGCCAAAAACAGAGGAACAATAGATGCCAGTTTTAATTATGTTTAGCAATATCACTGTTATGATTATAAACTATGTTTGTAGGGAGATTTTCCTATGTGTAAGGGAGTTGGGTGCAGAATGCACTGAACTCTAAGCAGTTTGTATGGGAGCTTATGGAAGTTTTATTTATGTGCAGTAGCATTGTGGGCACACATGCCTACATGTCAGGGACAATTTTAACAACAGAACATATGGTCTTACATGGAATTCTGATTATACTGCCTTTTGGAAGTAGTTCTTGGAATGGAGTGGAGGAACTGATTTGCAAGGTTAAGATATTCAGGGCAATTCATGAATCAAAATAGAAGGAAAAATGGAAGACTTAATTTGTATAAAAATCTTTGCTCCATACTTGTCGGGAAGAAAGTTGCTCAGTATCTGTTGCCTTCTCAGCAGCTGTGAAGGATATGAGCCACATCCTTGGCTGCAATGAGGCTGGCAGGGAATGAGGACACGGTGGGGTTCATGGGCAGAGGAAGGATGTGATAGTCTCAAAGATAGTCTCAACCTGCAAATGTTTCTTTGACAGCACCTTTAGACCACAGCACTAGAACATCCTCACACGGAAGTCATGGGCATAGCATAAGAGAAGAAGTTATTACAGCTTTTTGCCATCAAAAGTACATGATCAGTTGCTAAATTATGGGAAGACTGAATTATTTCCTAGTAATTATTTTCAAAGCTGGGGAACAGAATGAAACACACATGTACATAGAAAATGGGCAAACAAGGGTTATTCTTTAATGTGGTTTATCAAAGACAGCATGTGTGAATTGCAGTGAAAGTTAAAATTTGTTACAGTTTCATATCAAAAAGTCCTATCCTAGAATCCTGTCTGCCCAAAGACTGTTGGCAATCTCTCAGGATACTGAGAAAGCCACTTCTGCAATGATTTTCAAAACTAGAAAGCAGAATCAGTGCTCTTCAATTTAGTGTTTTATTTACATCATCTGCTTTAAGAAAATATTTCAGGTGACAACAGAACCAAAGCCTGAGTCTTGTCTCAGCATCAGCCCAGATGCAGATCTAGCCAGGGTGCTGTGGTCATCACTCCTGGGGCTGCAGCTGCCGCTGTGTCTGATCCTCACTCCCCAACACGTGCACTCGGGCCACAGGAGAGGCGCTGCACATGGACCTGTGGCTGGCGTGCCACACTTCTGTGAGCCAAAAGTGTTGGCTTTGTGGGCTGTGCCCTGCCAGCCTCACGGTGAAGGCTGGGGCTGCGGGTCTGGCTGCCTTAGTGCCATCTCCTGGGCAAGAGTGAGAGGGAACTTCTGTGAGACCTGAAGGGAAGCAGAGTCTTCTGCTGTGATGTCTCAATATCTTCTGACAAAAGGGGTCTCTTCCCTATCTGCTTCCCAGAAGTGTGTATCTTCACCACCTAGAACCTAGGGGCTGGTCATTCTTCTGGGTGAAATTAAAAGTGTTAGGTAGTCAGTGTTTTGAGGTGGTAGGAAAGCAAGTTTCTTCTTTAACAATATTTACAGCCTTGTGACTCTGTAAACTTCACACAGGTCCCCTTGTTCCTGCAGTTAAAGTCAAGAGACATGAAATAAAGAGTGACCCAACTCCCCTGGGGTTTGAAGGTAGGAGTATTTCCATCCTGCATGAAAACCTCGTCTGATATTATTCACTGAATTCACATCTCATCACAGCTGGTAGATGACACTGGAGTCCATCAGGAGGTTGGGGTCAATTTATCTGCATAATTTGGATTAAGACAGCTTTACTGTCTCCCTTGCCTGTCCCCTGCACTCATATTCACCTAGGCGTGGGCCTAAATTAAACCCCCAGTTCTCTGCCTGTTTTGTGAAGTAAAGCTCTAGATTGTCACCTGGATCTGGATTTGCTGCCTGGCTCTGCCTCCCTCCACAGGGAGCAGCAGCAGGGAGCCAAGGGGCTACTTTTCACCTTCACCTGCAGTCCAGCCACTTGCATCCCTCCTCCCTTGTTAGTGTCTACTCCTAATGAGAGAAACAGGAGCCATATGCATGAAGACTACAGGAGAGGCTAGACTGTGCATTAATAGCCATTTCAAGTGCAGTGTTTCATTTCAGACAAGCAGAATTTCCACCAATTTGTTGCATCAGATTCATAAATTACTGTTTAATAAAAATTATCAAAGAGTTAAATTGGGATGCTGTTCCTCAGCCACTGAAAGATCACCAGCTTCCACTGTCAGCTTTCCCCTTTACCTGATCATTTGCCTTAGGGGGTACAAGGAGACAGATAGCTCTGCTGCAGGACAGGCAGAAGAGAGATGTGGGCTGAGGAATCCTTTCATAGTATTGTGTTGTTCTGCACAAAAGCTTGGTAGGAAGAGCTGGTGAACAGGTCAGTGATGGAATTGGTGAAATATTAGAGCTATCTCCCATGGCACTCCCAGCAGAAGAAGAGACTGGAACAGAGAAGTTGGAAGAAACAATTCAGAGACAGCAGAAGTAGTTTTCCTGTTTGCAGAATATTTCCTTTTGCCAGTGTTCCCTAGATACATGTTTAGAACAATCCTGGCACCCAGCACCAGAGTTTCCCAAAGTGTGGGGTTTATGCCTTGCTTTCCTCACTGACAGATGCCCTGATCTCAGCATTCCCTGTGGCTGCAGAGGCAGGGAGGATTTTAAGGTGCAAGAACTATGTGCAGCATAGAACTGACTTGCTCCTCACAGGTTAAAAACAAGGTACTGCTGCACAGCATCCCTCACAGACTGAGCATCTTTAAGTAGGAAACAATGAACGTTATTTCCCCTCTAGCAGAAGATATTGCTGCTATTGCCAGGGCTTTGACTGAGGTAATAACACAAGGGATTCTCCCCCCAAAATTCTGTTGCATTCATCAAGAGTGAATTCATTAATTTGTGGCCTACCTGGTCCCCTTTTGCTGCTATATGGATTAGGATCAAAACCACAGGATTATCACCTACAAAATGATTTGAAATGCTGAAGGAAAATATGTTAAAGATGGGTAAGGATGCTGTAATGAAATAGAACACTGCACTGTTCCCTCAGCAATTGTCTTCCTTAATTAACATCAGTACTTCTGTTTGATTCATTTCGCTGTTCTCTGTCCTTCTCAGACTTACAGTTTTTCTGTGGAATGCTGCTGTCCTTTCACTCATTTGTGCTGGTCATGTGTCTCCTCTTTTATAACTGTTGGACCACAGTCCACCTGTTTGTTAAAGAGACTGTCAGTTGCAGAGGTGATGCAGGAATTCACTTTGTACTGGTTGTCTGGTCACTATTTCACCTTGAAGACACAAATTGTACTTCCTGTCACAGATGCTTTTGAGAACACCATTTTGGCCCAGACTAAATGTAATGCCGGTTCCACCACGAGATCAGTGCCTAGATCTGCTTCACAGACAGGTAAACAAAATTAAAGTATTTGTAAACTCAATTTGAGAGTGCAAACTAAATTTATGATAATACTTACTCTCTTTATAATAAGGAGCATTTTTGCTTTTGGTGAATATTATTTACCATCAAAACAATTAAAGAACCAGCTTGGATCACTAGCTTAGAAACAATGCCCCAGATTCTGGTTTTCTGAGGTCAGGATAAAAAAATTCTTGTAATTGAAAGCAGAGAGCTCAGAATTTGATCTTATTTTATAATAATTAAGCATGAGAAACAAGCTGTTTCTTAGTCTCTGAAATTAGAATAGTGATTTGTACGGAAGAGGGAGGCTGATGCATGTATTTGTAAGGAATTCTTGCTGGTGAGGTTTCTAAATTACAGTGGCAAAAGACTGAGGAAGTTTTGTCTAATGGGGTGGAGGAATATCTTGTTCTCTTGGTGTTGGTAGTCCAGCCTGTGAATTTAAACTGAAATTGCAGTAGCAGTTTGAAGTTAATTAGAATCAGAATATCGTTGTATGTTTAGATTTTTGCTAGTCTTGCTGGTGTGAATAAACTGGTACAGGACAGTGTCACTTCAGAGGATGATTCACACCTTTAGAAGTACAGATGACCAGACCACACCTGTGGGGCGGTAGCTGGGGATGCAGCTGTGCTGGAAGAAGGTCCCTGTGTCCCTTGTAACTGGGTTGCAGTTGTTGGAGCAGACAGACCCTGGGTGGCAGAAGGGGCTGCAGAGCTGCATGACCACGTGTTGTACGGTGCTTATAGCACGGAGGATGTGCATGGGGAGGGATTCAATAAACCAATTAATAAACCTATTTCTCCCAGATCAGGTCACCTTTCTGTTTACTGCCTGAACTGCCTGGCTTTGGTTTTGTATTGTCTCAGGCCAGGTTTTGGTGTGGGTTGAGAGTGCTGGGGTGTGCACACTGGGATAATCATACTGAGTGAGCTGTATCATACTGTGTAATCTGTCTCCATGCCTTGTGGTCAGAGCTTTGCCTTGTTGAGAGCAATGGCCCACAGGATATAAAGAACTTGGTTCAGCATCTGCTCAGCCCAAGTCCCTGTGAATCAGCTAATGCCCAGCAAGTACATTAATTAGGAAAGCACCTGGTAAATTGACGAATTCCATTCAGCTTGTGTCTGTCAGGGTTGCAGAATCATTTGGTAGATCCAAGGTCTGTTTCCTCTGAGCTGGACTGTAGTCATTCCCATCCCCACCAGAAAAGTGACAGGCATCAAGTGCATCAAAGTGCAGATGATGAGTGTCATCTCCACAAAAGAGCCTGAGCTACCCTTTCACCATGGGAGCCTCAGGCAGAGCCTCAGTTTCCCTCAGGATACATCCTATGGACATGCCTTTTTAGGTGAAGAGAGACTGAATGTTGAGCTTGGGCTGGAAATCTCTCACTGAGTCCATTCCACTGGGTTGGGGTGGTTCTGGTGAAAGTCATGCAGTAAGACAGGTAACAGCACAAATATGACTGAGATCTCTCCTCATCCCCCTGGTTGTCTTTGTGCCTTGCTGTTTACTCTGTCCCTTCCCTGCACTTGCAGCCTGCCCCAGGGTATAGTACTGTAAATTGCTCAGGTGGTAACATCACCTTGGGGTGAGATGGTGATCAAAATTCCATGGCTTTGTACTTACTTAAACATGTGCAGGTAAGCTGGAAACTGAATGATCAGGGCCTTCTGAAAGTCATGTCAGCACAAGTTATCATTTGCTCTGCAGGAAGATTCCTGGTCCTTGTTTTTAGTACCTCCTGAGCTGAAGGGATTGAGCAATGCTGAGCACTGGAAGTATCCATGGGTATGAACACTGCAGCCACACACGCTGCTCTCACACCAGGGACAGCGAGTGGTACAGGCTTTTAGAGACAGAATAATGGCTGTGACATAATTTTTATGGCAAAACCATGGAATAAGCTATAAAAAAGTGCCAGAAATTGGTAAGTGGAAGAGTGGGAAGTGAACCTGTGACATTTATTTTACAAAGACTGATTCTCAAAGAGACTAATGTCTGATAGCTAACTCTTTCTGATTTATCTCTTTTATTTTACAAAGACTGATTCTCAAAGAGACTAATGTCTGATAGCTAACTCTTTCTGATTTATCTCTTTTGAAAAGGTTGGCCCAGCAGACAAATGCCTTCTCTAGACACATTTGAAGATTTTGAAGCCATCCCTTCCAGCATGGATGAACTCTCCAACTCTTCTGATTTGGAGGAAGAGACAAACCCTAACAATGTAATTGCTTTTTAAAATTACACTGCCCTTTCCCAGCACAACTTCCTCCTCTCTAAGGTTCACAATGTAACCTGCAAAGTTTGGGTTCATACCAGCCTTTAATCCATGGATGTGTGGGAACACAAAATATGGAAATTTGATCTAGGGTGTTCTAAGATTATTACAAGACTTTTGTTGATCAGAATGAGGATCATAAAAAGTCACTCATACTTGTAAGCTGTCACTTTGCCTGCTACAAAAGTGAGGGAAAACTCTGAGTCACTGAAAAAGTAATTTCAGATTTTTTCAGATAACTTTACCTGGAGTCAAACCCAATTTTTATATCAGAATAGTGGCTGGTGGGTTAAGCCTAAAGTCTAAATACAGAGAACAGGTCTATCCAAATTTTGAACAAAGTTTAACCTGGTCATGATAAAACACAATTGCCTACTCTGGCAATCTCTGCCAGCTTGAAATGCCTAATTCAGTATTTAACTGATCTTGCATAGTGTTCTTTCATCCATACTGATTTTATTTATGGTGCCTTGTTTCATTCATTTTAGGGGAGCAATCTCTTCCGGGTCGAAGGCAGTTTTGACAGCTGTTTCCCAGATTCTCTTACCCTTGAGGATGGAGATTTAGTGCAGTTTGTGCAGGAAGGAGAGAATGGTCAATGGTGAGTATGGCAGAGAGACAGAACTGGACAGGTAGAACAGCCATAACCTCCTGGAAAAAATGGAAAATATTCAGAATAATGTGAAAGTCTCTTCAAAATCAATCCAAATCCACTCAACCCATTGATCACAACATGAAAGAGGCAGTAGGAGGCATGAACACACAAAGCAGCTTTGGTTAATTCCACCTGGGTGGCTTTGATCCAAAATGCTTGTGATATGAGGTTTAAAGAGACAAGTTTCTGTAAAGGAAATGGATGGGAATAGTTGGGCTTTTGACACCAGAAGGACATCTGTCAAAGGCAGCACCCTCCTGTAGGATACATCAATAAAATCCCCACACCTTCCACTGAGAACAATCCAGCCCCAAAATTTTAAATATGTGATTGACAAAGAGGAATGAGACTGCCCCTCTGAGCTCACCTATGCTTTGGTGTATTCATTTTCTCTTGCTGACAAGTGAGTGTTAGGAAGAGACCTTCCTGGACATCTGAATTCTCCCTTCACAGGCATTTTGGAGGGAGAAGATCTGATCTTGAAATGCAGTCAGACCCTTCATTCAGAGCTGACAGCTAAGAGGGGAGTGAGTTCCACAGGGTAAAGTAGTTGGGAAGTGAAATAAACTCATCCACCCAAGGGTGGTATTTACAGCAAGAAGGATGGATGATATGAAATATTCCTTTTCTTCAGCTCTGAATTTAGAATCATGGAATCATTTGGGTTGGAAAAGATCTCCAAAACTGAACCATGAACCCAGCACTACCAAGCCCAAAGGCAGTATCCCAACCACAGGACAAGGCTCTGCTTCCTTGTCACACAGCCTGCTTGCAAGTGACCTTGCTCTGGGATAGTAGCTCACCATCTGACACTGAAGAAATTGACACCTGTAGGTGACTTTCTCACTCTCCACAACTCCCTGAAACGTGGTTGTAGTCAGGTGGGGTCATCTCTTTCTCCAGGCAGCAGGTGACAGAAAGAGAGGACACAGTTGCAAGCTGCACCAAGGGAAATAAAACTTGGATGTTAGGAAAAAAGTTTTTTACAGAAAGAGTGATAAAGTACTGGAATTATCTGCCTGGGGAGGTGGTGGAGTCACCATCCCTGGATGTGTTTAAAAGAAGACTGGATGTGGTACTTGGTGCCATGGTTTAATTCAGGTGTTAGGGCTGTCTTGGACTCTGATCTTGAAGGTCTCTTCCAACCCAGTGATTCTGTGATTCTGTGATTCTGTATGGATACCTGTAGGACTGCCCTGGGTCCTCTGCCTTCTTCCTTAGTTTAGGAAATAATAGCCCAACACAAACCTCTAAGAAACACAACCCAGGGAAAGGCAATGTAGGAAAATTCATTGACTGTTTTCTGAGTTTCAGGTTAGTGAAGAAACTGGTCTCTGAGAAAAGCGACTGGGTTCCCTCCAGTATACTGCAGCCAGCAGAGGGGGACAGTAACAACATAATTAAGAGCAGCAATGCAGGTACCAGAGAAAATGCGTTACTGGTTTGGTGGCTTTTTTTCTCCATACTGAAAAAGGATGCAATAAAAAAAAAAGTGATAGAAAAGTGCACTTTCTGTATTCAAGTACTCACCTGAGTGCATGTCTGTGCTGCGTTCTCTGGTGACATGGCTGAGCCAACCTGAAATTTGGTGCCTGCGTGTCAGAGCTAGTCAGACACGACAGCTTTTAATTGTTTTCCCCTTTCTGAGGAGAACTTGAATCTCCCATCCAGCTTCTATGGCTATCAGTACTCAGACTGGCTGCTTTACAGCGAGCCCAAGTGTCTCACACATAGGGTGTGCCTGCAGGACAGCTTTGATCCTGGCATGGATAGACTCTGGATGTAGACCAGCATCAGGGCTGTGCTTCTGGTCTAGGTTTGAAAACATTAAAATTTCATGAACCATTACTGCCTTCATCATATTTCACAGCTAGCTCCAAAAGCTGCAGGGAGGGCTGATCTGGCAAGATGTCAGCCAAATCAGCACTAAAAGTTATCCGTTCTCAGCTTTGGTTCTGACCTAACACCCAAACAGGTTGCACTGGAAAAGCTGAATCTGAGCATCTCTGCAGATCAAAGGTTTACAATTCTAGACCAATATTTGTCCATCCTTAAATACAATTTACCAAAATGTGTTCTGCTTTTCTTCTGGTAGCAGAAGAAAGCAAAATCTGGCACAGCCATTCCCTGGGGATCTGCAGTGGAGAGCTACCAGCACTTTATTCTGAGTTACTGATCTCTTGATTCTTTTTGGTCAGATTGTTAAAGTATTAAAGTTACACAGCAAAAGAGCCTCCCTTGCCTTTTGTGAAGGAATTAGGAGAGCAGTGGAATTGTGATTTTATGTTTTATTTTATTCCAGGCTTTTAACAAAGAACCTTAAGACTGTAGGTGGAAAATCCTGTAGACTTATTGTAGTGACAATGCCCATGTCCTCCTTTTCAGACACATACAACGATTCCTGCAGCACAGCCTCAGTAGAGTCAGACACGAAGGAAAGTGAGGTGGCCAAAAGCTTCCCAGCAGAACAGAGGGCTGGCAGCTGAACAGCAGGACCAGCCTTCCTCAGGACCCTGTCCACCTGTCTTTATCTTGGGTGGACACTGGATCAAAGCTGCCTTTCTCACAAGCTCTAAGGTTCATAATTCACTAATATTTTATCAGTGTGAACAGATGAGAACTGTCCTGTCCACCTGGCAAGCTGGGAAAAACAAACTTGAAAGGAGCATTATACATCCAGAAAACATCAAACCTACCTTCAGTATTAGAGGAGAAAAATGCTTCTTGCATTGATTATCAAACTGTTTCAGAAGATGTGGCCTAAATTAGGTCGACAGCAGAGCTGAAGAGTTTCTATGCACGCACCTTTTGGCAACTTTGCTTGAGCACCACATCACTGCAGAGGGGCACGTGGTGGTTATGAGTCCTTGCTCCACCCTGGGGTCACCTGGAGGTTTTTCCATTTGCTTGCCTCTGGCTGTGCCTTCCCTGTCCTTCTCAACTCCAGCTGATACATCATCACAAATGTGCCCTTTTTGCTGTCGGTCAACACCAAAAACACCCCACTTGAGGGTGGCTGTGCAAAGGAGACTTGTGGCTGGGACCATCAGAGGGGCTCGGAGCAGCAGTGACGTGACTCCTCTGCGGTGGCCCGGGAAGGCCCTGCTGCACACAGCATTCCACACCTGGAGCGCTGCAGGTGGCAGCTCCTGGCTGGGAGGTGCAGGGCCAAGCAGGGAAGTAAAGACGTGTAACAGCTACTGTGACAAAGAACACTCTGAACTCTTTTTACAGCCTAAGTCAATCCTCTGCCCCCTCTACAGTCTCTGGTTGCTGGATCACAACTCTTTGCATTTGGTGCCGAGAATTCAGTTGAAGGCCATTTACTGTCACATGTTTGAGTAGACTGCATGCTTTCCTTGTGTGCTGGGCTATGAGTAAATACATTTCACCCCCCATTTGGAATATACTTAAGCATTGCAAATAGGCAGTGAGCATTAGATGCTCCAATGAGTGGATAAAGTGTTGTTGTTAAATACTTCTTTCCAGGACGTTTGATGAAAGGCAAATCTCTGCCATATAAGGATGTAATGTATAATATAAAGTGATTACAGATGTTATGATTCCTACACAAGCCATTAGCTCATTTAGAGCAGCTGTTAAGGCATGAAGGCATTTTGATGGTAATTGGGTCTTAGGTCCCACAAAAGCTGCTAGTACTTTAGTAAAGATAAATATTGACTAAGGGTTGCAAACAGGCGAAGATCAGTCTAGTAAAAACTCAGAAGAAGCTCAAGAGTGAATGAGTGGCTTTCACTCTTAGGGATGTTTTGTTTAACCCTCAGACTAGTAGTGCTTTATGTAAATAAAGGGCACTAAAAGCACTAGAAATGGAGATGAAGCAAAACCAAAACCCACTTTTTACTAATTGAGGCTCTGAGCAAAGCAGTAGGTGTGTGTATCATTTCTGCTCTCACCTTCACAGGGACTCGAATGTTCTCCTTTGTGTCTCAGTGGAGGCTGGTGTTGCAAGTACCTTAGTGTGTGAGTCAGCATAGCTGTGGAGCAGGTAGATAGTCCTGTTTGAGAAAAAGCCTTGGAGCAGGTAAAGGCTTAGTCAGATTTCTTTTGCTATGAAGACGTATTGGTTGATTATAAGTTGCACTGTGGTGATTGATTCCCATGGCTCTTCTAACCCTCAATATCTAAACTCTGATTTTTGACATTTTCTGTTCATGACTAAAGGACCTGAGAGTTCTGTACCTTTCTGGAAGCTATTTTTGTCCTACAGAAGTAGGAGCTTGCCTGTTTCTGTTGGTCATTTACCTCAAAAATGACATGTAGGCTCTCAGGAACATGGATCCTCTTGGTCTACTGTGGTTATCAGAATCTTGCAGGAGGAATTGATTCCTTTCAGTCCCCTAAGGAAATATGCAGCAACGTATTCTTACAGTGCAATTACTTTATCCTCTCTCTAAAATGAGTATATTCTGGTTTCTCTATTACTAATTTTTGCACAGGAACAGTGCTGCTGTCTACCCCTGCCCTAAACATAGGAGAGGGAAGGGCTAGGGAGCTTTGATTGCACATTAGTGAGTATAGTAAGCTTTCTTGTGTGGGAGAGAGAGATAGGGAGGGGTTACCCTGGGTGTATGAAACTGCCAAAATGAAGATTTGTGACATTGCTGATGGATGGAAAGACAAAAACATGCACTTTGGAGTGGAGTTTATTTATTATTTTTGAGGAATCTCATTCTGATTGTGAAATGGTAGCGAGAAGTCTCTGAACTGAAGATGAGAAGTCAAGTGTTGTCAATCCATTTCCCACCTCTGCATGAGCAGGGTGAGAGTGTGCTGGTCCTACATCCCCTGGTGCCCTGACACCTTCCTGTAACATGGGAGCTACGGAATTTCCTGCTAAATGCTACATTTTACCACATATACAAAAATTAGGGACCCTCCAGGGAAAAGCAAAGCATTCAACCCCATATGCCCCAATGTGCCCTCCAAGAGTGCCACTGGTGGCATCCTGTGGAACAGTCTAGAGCTGGAGCAGGGAATGGGGTTACTGAGGAAAAGGGTCCTCTCCCAGATCCAGACCATCTGTCATGGCAACTGCAAAGGTAGGGGCTGGATTATTGCATTCGCCTCCCTACTTTGCTTTTGAAAGCTTTTCTTTTTTATTTTTTCTTTTTTTTTGTCTGAAATATGTTATGGTCTATCCTGCTGGACCAAAGTTTGAGTGTGTCCTGCTCCATGGATGCCCTGGGAATGACAGGTCTCTCTGTCCCGTGGCTGTGCAGCAGTGGCACAGCACTCTGGTCTTTGGGAGCTGCCTGTGCCGCAGCTCCTCGGGCACACTGAGCCTGAGCAGGGAGCTCACAACCATTAACTGTGTCTTTAACCTTCCTGCAGTGCCAGGTGCCTGTTTCTGCCTCCACCCAGGGCACAGGGCAGCCCTGGCTGGGTCTCCTGGGCAGTGACAGGGCCACTGCAGGGCTGGCTTTGGGAAAGAATGAGTTCAGTGACAGACCAGGCTGCTGGCAAGTCCTAGCGCAGCCCACAAAGGAGTAACCTTCTGGCTTTGCTGATGAGACAAAATGGGGTTTGATGACTTTTTGAGGTTTTTAAATAGTATGCAGGATAGTCTTTTAATTAGTGTATTTCCATCAAACAAGGTAATAATTAGGGGAATGACTCTCCATGTACAGTCTAGAAGATGATTTGGTAAAGTCCAGCAAGACTAATGTGTATGTTAGGGTATGCTTATTCTGTCTGTAGGTCTTTGACACCATCCTTTTCAGGTAGATGGATCTAAAAATCATAGTTTTCAAATAAGGATTTCATTTCAGTGTTGTTTGGAGATGATACAGTGACCATTTAGAAGTCATTTAAAAGTAATGGTTGTGACTGAGTTTTGGCTGTAGAAGACCCCAGATCCCAGGTAAATCCATGCTGCAGCAGCCCTTGCTGCTGGCCCAGTGCCTGGCTGTGCTCCCTGGGCCTGGGCTGGTCACACCTCCCCTCCAGGCTGTGGGTTTGCCTGGGCTCTCCTCCCTCTGTGCTGCTGCTCTTCTGCAAGTTCTGCAGAAACTTCACATCCTCCAAACTGCCCTCAAAACTGCTCACTCAGGTGTGGCTGGGCTGCAGAGTCCTTCCTTACTGGCACCAATGGCGAACAAAGGCAGTTGCACAACACACAAGTCTTGCTTTTAGTAAACCAAGCTAAAATAGAACCAGGCCTGATCCTCTCCTCTCACCTTGAACCCCACCAGGTGGAGAACCAGACCAGTGGTCGTTGTCTTGAACACAAACAGCTGCAGCCAAACCACCTCTGAGCTCTGGCTTTTCTCTCCAGCGACAGCAAATCTGTGTGTGTGTCTTATGTTCTGGTTGTGTGTGTGATGAGAAGCCATTTTATTATCTATGATTTTCTTAGAGTCTTGATATTTCAAACAGGATTGGGTATGAGAAAGGCCATGTGCTTTCTTTCCAAAAATACTCAAAGACTTCAAATATATATATATCTGATTAGAAATATATAAGAATAATAAGAAAAAAAGATCCAAAATGTGTATTTCTTCTTGCAGCTGGACTGAAGTAGCTGCTAAGATTTCCTCTCCCCAGCTGAGAATTGGTACAGTTTGTTTTTCTTACATGATTTCCATGATGTTGATAATGATGTATTTGTATATTGTGACTGATGAGAGATAATCAGACAGGGAAAGAGCACAGAATTACCTGTCCTTTTTTCCAGTCAAGACAGAATGTATGAATTTATTACGAGAAAAAAAATGTGCAAATGAACTTCCTGTAATTAGGTCATTCTAACCTGTGTAGAACCACACTTTGTTTGAAATTTATAAAAATTATAACTAGTACAAAACCCTGTGGTTGATGTCTCTATATGAAGCAACAAGTAAAACGAGATTTTTTTTTTTTCTATTTGAAATAAATGAATTATCAGTAAAGGCACATTATCAGAGCTGAAAAAATCCACACATTTGTCCAATATAACTTTAACTTGTCCAACATGTGTCAAAAGGCAGATTAGGGGTTTTTGTCCTTTCCCCCATCTCCCTTGACTCTTAGGAGAGTGCAAAGGTTCACACAGATAGCTCAGAGGAAATCGCAGATGACTTTATAATAGTTATTCCTGAGATATCTGCATGCCTTTGGCTACCAGTGTTCATTAGGGAGTGCTAATTGACCCAAATACAAGCTGTGGATCATGTAGAAAGGCAAGCAGAAACCTGAAATGAAACTGCAGAAAGAGTGCAAACCGAGCAAGATAATTAGGAGCACACCAGATGCCAGTGTGGGGGTGGCTTTGTTCCCTGCCCCAAGCTGGCAAATGCCCAGGGCAGGGAATGGCCAGGGCAGGGAATGGCCAGGGCAGGAGTGAGCGATGCTTTCACGTGGCACATCCAGGCCTGCAGCCAGCACTGCCCACACAGCTCCTGCCCCAGCCTGGGAGCTGTGCAGGACCCTTTGTGGGACAGGGGCTGGGATGCAGCACTAACAGAGCTCCCATCCATCCTGGACAGGGGCTGGGAGCAGCACTAACAGAGCTCCCATCCACCCTGGACAGGGGCTGGGATGCAGCACTAACAGAGCTCCCATCCATCCTGGACAGGGGCTGGGAGCAGCACCGGGCCAGGCAGCAAAGGATGGGTCCCACCTGGGGCAAGGGCCCGGCTGGGGCTGTGCTCAGCCCTGCCTTACTCTTAGCAGGTGCTCTGTGGGGATGGTCACACCTCTCCCTCCTGTGCCTTAGCGGAGTTTGGCCTTAAATAAAATCCTTTCGAAGAACACAGCACAGGCACTGATTTGGGGCACTTTGCACCAGGTTCTCAGAGAGGGAGGGAGATGCACGAAGCTTTCTCTGGCCTTGCAGAGCCCCAGGTCCCCGATCTCCTCCCAGTAAGCCCAGCAGTCATTTCTCCTTTCACTTTCTTTCCTAACCATCATTTATTTCCTTCTGCGTGAGTCTACAGACGGAGGGAGGCATCGCTCTCCCCCTCCCTCTCCACCTCCCTCCCAGCCATGTGACCGAGCTCTCCCTGCCCGAGTGAAAGTGCCCAGCCCTCAGGAGAGCCGGGCTCGCTCCGCCGCCGCTCCCCGGGAGAAGCAGCGCCTCTCGCAGCCGTGCTGGCCATGGGGAGGAGCGCACGGCAGCTCATCTCGCTCACCCTCGCCTGTGGTGAGTAACAGCATCATTTCTACCTGAAAAACGGCATGTTATGCCGGTTTTGTTGCCTTGCAGTCAGGACAGCACCCGACAGACTCAAAACTTTGAACAGTTTTGTTGCTAGCACTAAGGGTGCTTTCAGTAAAGTCCCGCTGCTAAGAAACTGCTGTTAATTGTAGCTGCCATACACTTAATTTGATGTTTTGCTCTGTTTTCCCTTGAACTGTGTGGTGGCATAAAGTCTGTGTGAAGGAGTCAGTTCAAAGCCATGTTAGAAGCAGACTTTTTTGGCTTTGCTTTTCTTAATTAAAAATAATTTCCACACCTCCAGAACTAACTGAAAATCCTGAGTGACACAAGCAGGAAAGATAAAAGCAAGGAAGTGTTGCTCGAGTTGTTAATTTATCCTCACTGCAAGATGCAGTGCAGGATCAGGAAAGGCAGGGGCTTGGAGAAGACAGACTGGGGCTACTCTCAATGACAAACCCCATTGGAGTCACCTTTTGATCCTTAATGCTGCTCTGGGGAGCCATACACACGAAGGAAATCTCTCAGTGCTTCAAGTCACTGCTCAACAACTGCAGCAGCACCAAATTTACCTGATGAAGAGGGACAAAATGTGACTTAATCTGTGGAATGGCCAAGGGTTTGAGCTCACTGTTTGGTGTGTTTTGCCACTGGCACATGGGGATCACAGGATCAACCCCTGTCCCCCTCCCAGTTCATGGGCAGGAAAAGTGCCCAGAGACTCCACCATGAGCAGTTCCTGCTGTATCTCTCTGCTTTCCTGTGCCTGCTTCATAGCCAAAGTCTGCTGAAGTAGCCCCAAGACATACAAATGAAAGTAAGAGCAAAATTAGACTGAGGAGCAACACTAATAATTCAGTGGTCAGCAATCACTTTTGATCAGAAAGAACTTGTTTCCTCTGTTCCTTACCCATTTTTGACACTTCATTTAATAATTTGTTGTGATGTTTCATTAATGTCACAAAGTCAAGTCTTTCTATGCAGACAGGAAATGAAACATAATTAGTGCTGAAGGGATAAAGGTCAAATGGGTTGGAGGGAAGCTATGACAGTACTGAAACCTCTCAGAAAATCTTGGTGCTTTTCCAATTCCTCCAACAAACCAAAGCAGCCAAGGCTGGTGAGAGCATTTTCACTGATTACAGGAGCCAGTTCAGGTTTTGTGTCCACTCAGAATCAGTCAACTAAACAGGAGGATTTCTCCTGGCAGCAGAAAGTAGAAAAAAAGCCGCTGGGCAGCGGAACAGATGAATGTGGTTAGATGAATAGGGGACAAAAATCCTCAGTAAGAGTTTCTATCACATACTCCCAGTACAGGATGGAAATGGCACAGCCAGGCCATGGCACTGAACACTCAGCCAGGCTCCCAGAGAGGAATGTGGCCATGCTAAAGAGCCATGGAAGCCTTCCCAACCTCAACTGGAGGGTGGGTCAGTGACCCCAAGGGCCTATCTGCTCCTTCACACAGCAGAGCCACCAAACCACCTCCAGCAGCTGCCCAAACACAGCCAGTGCCAGTGGGTGCAGCTGAGTGATCCCTGCCCAGCCCTGTGGCCAAATGCCTTTTGGGAAGACAGTCCAAGCCAGTGGATTTAGCAGTGTGGCCATGCTCTGGCAGAAGCCCCAAAATGCTCGGAGGAAGAGCCTGGTAGTCACCCAGTGAGCAAGAGCCATGGGCCTTTCTAAAGACATTTCTTGCTTTACCCCTCAGGTGACCCTGTCTGGCTGAAAAATGAAAAATAATTAGGTGGAAATTACCTTTTAAGGAGTTTTATTTAAAGGTGGCATTCTAATGTCACTTCAATATTTCTTTCTACATCTGTGTTATCTGATCAGTAATCAAAACCAGTCTGTGAACTGAAAACTAAGACCTACAGACAATTTAGGACTTGTGTACATTTATATATGGGTTGTTTCACATTCTTAGAGGGGAAGAAAGAGTGAAAATTGCAACTTCTTCTTTCTTGTTTTCATCATGCTGATACAATTGGACGCAGCTACCGATAACTGGTGCGAGGCAACTGCTCCGGCTTTCCCCAGACCCCACAGAAGGAGATCAGTCATCTGATCAACAGTTCTGCACCAGCTGTGGTGAAGTGTAGGGGCAAGAGCAACAGTGAACTAAAGTATCATATGAATTATGCATTTTTAGGTTCATTTTGAGAAAAATCACAGTATTTTTTTTAGATTTTTCAACTGTCTCTAGTTGGCCTTTGACGGCAACACCTAAAGTGTTGTTCTGTAAAAGGTGTGTTCTGTACAGCTCAGTGAAACCCAGGCAATTTTAGGAGTCTGGAGTATTTACATCTACATTTCTGCTCTTCTCCAGCATAGACATTTTTAAAGGAAAATTGTGTTAAGGGTTAAGATCTGTGCATCTGCTCTTGTTCCTTTGATTTTTATGTTGAATTTGATTCAAAACCCAGTAAGTCTTATTATTCTTACTTAGTTTATATGTATCTGAAAATGGTTAGATTTTGTGAGTTCAGCTATTACTGAAGATCTCTGTTAATGGTGAGTGGCAATAAATAAATGAATACATGGAAGAACTTGTGAGATTTCAGCTGGTTTTACTCTAAACATGCCTCTGGTATTAATCTGTCCTAAAATCCTAATCTCAGCAGCCTGCCTGCCATCAACTTTGACACTGATTCATGAGAAATTCCTTTGAAAGAACAAGTGTACAGTGAACTCAGACGTGTTGAGGCATTCTCTGTGGAGTTGTACTTCTGGGAATATGAGCTGTCTTGGACTTTTGGGTTCCTTCTGTCTCCAAACTGGAGAATTTATCTCTGTCCTCGCACTAATTTAGGCAGTAAAGCACTTTAACTACACCTATATCTTCATGTACATCAAAGAATTCACATACATCAGTGATTTATTTCTTTAATTCAGCCTTGTCTTTCCAGGGTCTTGTTGCATACTCACTAAGACGCAAGCAGAAGAGTTGTGACATTTAAATATTCTACAATGTACTTTCCCACTTTTTGTTCACTTCTCTGTTTACTTTTAGGAGCCAGATTTTTTTTTTCCCACTTCTGCAATGGACACGTTTCTGTAACTGTTGTTAGGTGGAACCATAATTTTGGTGCTGTAACTATTTTCTGATGTCCAAAATACTCCTGGATGCTGCACCCTGATTTTTTTCTCATTTCTGAAAGCCCATCACTAAGAGGGATGGTCTGTCTTTGGGTTCTTCCAGGAGGAAGAACTTCAGGATTCAAGCTGACATGGCTACAGCAAAACCATAAATAAACACTTGGAATTTCCCTGTTCCCAGACTGGTTTCCCAGACTGGTTTTCCAGACCATTGTGAAGCACTTTAAGACCATTGCACTGCCTTGCTTCCTTCACACACACAGACATACCCCTTTCCCTACAGTTTGTTGTAAGAAACCAACAACCCCTTTGGCTGCTACACCCACTTCATCTTCCTTAGACCTGGCAATTTGCTTCCAGCAAATCTGGCTGAACTGCCTGCAGGGAATTCTTGTGCTGCCCAGAGATTGTGCAACATCTGGTTCCTCAGTGTGTGGAGAGCTGGGAGCCAGTGTGCTCCACTGGGATGGGAATACTCAGAGGTGTGAAACTCGGGGTGTGGTGCCTAGTTGTGGATAATCCTACAGGGTGTCTGCTTTCACTCTCCTATCATGACTGGGGCCAAAGGAAGAGTGAAATTGTATCACCCATTTGATAACAAAACCAGTGCAGGTATTTTGCGTTATTTAGTTTATCAACACAAAAGTGAAATGTAAAGGTTTCTAGACTACTGACTTTAGTTTCTTTGCAGCATTTTCCTCCTGCTTTGCTGAAGTGGCCCTGGGGGTCGAACTGTCTCCAGAAACCACATCCTTCCACCAAATGGCTACTTCTGCTCAGCCACTTTATCATTCTTCACCCCATCAAAACACCACAGTTCGTTTTAACAGCACAGGCCCTCTTCAGACAACACCCATGAGCCACAGAACAGCTGAGCAGACAGCTGAACAGCTCCAGGCAACACCAGCTCCGGGCCAGCACACGGCAGCCGGGGCAGGAGCAGGCACCGTGTCCACAACAGCCGCAGACAGCCCCAGCACGGCCGGCCAGGTCACGACACCGGCAATGCCCTCGGTTACAGCTGCAGGGAAGAACACAACCTCTCCCTCTGTGTACTCCACCAGGCATGGGAGCAGACCACGTGTGAGCACAGGAACCACAGCAGTGGCCACCAACACCTCCCTGAAGCATGAGACAGCAAGTACCCAGGGGACAGGTGCCACCTCCACCGCTGCAGCCGGCAGCACGCAGCGGGCCCGGCCCAGCACACGGTCACAGAGACAAACAACAGCCACCGGTGGCCCAACAGCCACGGCTGTGACCAGCACAGCCACCCATGCAGGGACACAAACAGCCCCCACATCCCCTGGCAGCACA